GTCATATTCCGGCGCCAGTCTCATTCAGCAGCGCGCGAGGGCGGGAGGGCACTAACACAGGAAGCACCTCTAGTGACCGTCTGAGTGACGGTCACTAGCAGTGTCACTTTGAAGCAATGTAAACACTGCCTTTTGTCTGAAAAGTCAGTGTTTACGTTGAAAAGCCTGTAGGGACATGCTATAGACACCAGTACCACCACATTAAGCTGTGTGTGTGCATCTGCTAGTGAGTGAGCTTGCTTGCATGCATGTGTGTGCCTGCTAGTGAGTGAGCTTGTGTTTTTATGTCAATGAGCTGATGTATATCAGTAAGATTGTTTGTCTATGAGGCTGTGTATCAATGAGCTTGTGTGTGTCACTGAAATGTCAGTGAAATTGCCTGTGTCTGCATGTGAGTATGCTTACTGTATAATTAAACGTTTTACCCTGAAAGGACCAATATTTTATATTAGAAAAAGCAATATATATATATATATATATATATATATATATATATATTACTCAATCATCTGTCCTGGCAAGACATAGCCTTACATATTACACGCGACAATATATGGCGCAGTGACTTATGGGGCTGGCACAAATTTTTTTTCCAGGGCTGCTTTGTATCCCCAGTCCGGCCCTGATGAACACGTGGTGACTGATTTGCCAGATGCATGTTGGGTCCATGAGAGATGCCAGCCCAGGGTGTGTTATTCTTCAGATGTACAGAACATTGGTTGTACTAGCTATGTGGCTTTAGTAAATACTAAAAATAGAAACCCTAAGACGTTGAAGCCTGCTATTATGGTTCTGTTTATTGCTGACAGAGATGGGATTTGACTTGTATCTCGTATCCTTTAAACATTTCTGTTATATGGTTCCTGTATCGAATTATGACGTGTCTATAAACAATGGAAATCCGTTGGTGATTTGTAAATATTAATAACAATTATGGGATGTACTAACGTGTACTATTAAACAGCAGGGGGCGTATCTGAGGAGAGACAATAAAATCAGAAGAGACAGATCACAAGAGACAGTGTATCAGGAAATGGATCACACTGATCACAGTGGGCTGTTAGAAAGTAACACGACAGCCCCATAAATCACTTCAAAAACAGATTGGTTAATTTTGAATGTATTTGCAGTTAATATTAATGGACACATACTACATACAACATGCATATGAGCTGCTCATGAAGAGTGCCACCCTCACTGTATGTAGAAACCTTGTGCTTCAGGAAGAAATCTGCAAGTGCTTTTAAAAGAATAGTCTTGATCAATTAATTTCTCTGATGTAGCATTTGAAAGCTGCATACATCACACAAATTATTTTTCATGCAGATCTACTAAGTTTGTCGAGTCTAAAATCAGGAGATAGGAGAGGGAGCAGGGTGGCAGGAAAGGCCAGTGGGAAGGCATGGCTGAATCGCAATTAATTTCATTTAACCTTGCGCTACAGTTAATAGCAGTCCTCGTGACACAGTGACAGTCGGTCTGTCTGGTGATACGGTGGACTGATTGCTGCATTCTGAGTGGCAAGATTTTGGCAAATATAGCTGTTATGGAAGAATTCTTTAACTTAGCTATAGTCACAGATTGCCTAAATTAGTCTTAAATCTGTGATTCAGAACTCATTTACTAATTTCAGACTGTAGTGAATTACCCTTACTGTGTAGCACATGTTAAAATTGCGTGATTTGATAAATCTGTTCATGTATATCCGCATAAAAAGACACGTATGCAGAAACTGATGGCGCATATGGCAACCCCATGTGTTCGGAGTTAGTTTAGAAATAAGAGGGTAGAGTTGACATATCCTCCTGTTTGTATGGACCTTTTGTATGGACTACGCTGTGTGACATGACATGAAAAAACTTGCTGTACGTGGAACTCATATGCTGCATGGGGAATAAGGTGGAGTCCAAAAGTATCATCGCTAGATAAAAGGGACACTGTAGGCACCCAGAGCATTCCATCTCAATAAGGCTGTCTATGTACCATGCCCCTGTAAAACAATGCCATTTTGCCTGACCAGCATTGTAGGGTTTAAATGCCTTTGATGGTTGTCACTCTGATAGCTAGGAGAGGCGCTTCCTCAGAGTTTAATAACTGGTTATGTGGGCCCCTGTCTGAACCTGGAGGTTCGGCTTTTCACAGGTCCTCCATCATCCGGCAGGAAGATTAAAAGATACCCCACATACCCCCTAACACTGTCACACTTATCCCCCAAACCCTGTCCCTTTCTTCCCCTGCCACAGTCACAACTCCAGCCACCCCCAGAAGATAGACATACTACACATGAAACACAGCCACACCATAAACACAACATACAAATACCGCAAGCGGCCCACGTTACGCACAACGCAAGCAACTACCACACACATACGCCACCAGACATAGACATACACATGCACGCAAAGACACATTTACACACAAGGAAGCTCAGACACATACACAGATACACAATGCCAGGGACAAAGACAAACTAAGTTAGAATTGCACTCACACGCTCTGAGCCACATACACAGGTACATAATGCCAGACACACAGACATACTCAGGCTGCCCCCACCCATACAGTTCTCATCCTCCTCGACAAACACAACACTCAGTCAACACACATACGCACCACTCAGAGAAACCGATTCCAGAGCTTGTTTTACCATATTGGCACAGTGGAGCATGTTTCTACCATCTAATCGGCACAGCGGAGCGTTTTGTGCATTAGTCTCCAAATACTATTCTATGGGAAAGAATTGGACTGGACGGCGAGACAACAGCATGAAAACCGACACGACGAGAGAGAACGATAAGTTAAAGTGTGTGGGGTGTAGGAGGATTCTAATCTGCTAACAAGACATGATAGCGTTAGGAGTACACATTTGTATTATAACTCTGTAGTGTTCCTTAAGCTGATTTTTCAGCAGGAGAATGCTACATACTACAATGAATATTAATTTACTTTCCATAATGCAGGGATAAGTGTTCCACAAAACATGTTCAATATTTTTTTAGGGTACTATTAGGAGACAGGCGATATAGGCAGCTCTCTAATTAGGCGATTTAGGCAGCCGCCTAACACTTTGGGTGTTAGTGGGGGCCTCATGTTTGAGTTTCGCCTAAGGCCTTACAAAGTCTAGAGCCACCACTGGGCAGGAGTATTTAAGGGTTAATTTGGAAGAGACAAAGGACATTCGCAAGTTATGTAGTGTGGGATTTTGGAATTTATTTACAGAAATTAAGCGAGGAGGGGGTTTATTAATTACAGGACAGGGAGGCAGGTGAGATTTCATGGTATAGGCAGGGCTGGTGCGTCCATAAGGCGGCACAGGCGGCCGCACCGGCTCTGGGGGAGCAAAATTCCAGTGATAGGCAGGAGGGAAGTGCTCCCTCCTACCAGGCCACCTTCTGGATCCCCGGCGTGGCATGTGGCTGAATTGGAATCCGAGGCGGCGAGGGAGCTCTCTGCTCTGCTCCCTCGCACGCCTTTTGCTGATGCTGGGAGCCGGAATATGACGTCATATTCCGGCTCCCGGCATCAGTAAACAGCCCACGAGGGAGCAGAGCAGAGAGAACGCAGCTCCCTCGCCACCTCGGATTCCAATTCAGGCGCACGCCTATTAATAATTAGTGTGTGTGTCTGTGAGTGAGTGAGTGTGTGTCTGTGAGCGAGTGTGTGTGTGATTGTAAGTGTGTGCATGTGAGTGTGTCTGTCAGTGTGTGTTTGTCATTGAGTCTGTCAGTGTGCGTGTGTCTGTCTGTCAATGAATGAGTGTGTCAGATAAGTGAGTCTGGCTGTCAGAGACGTCTGTGTGTTTGTCATTGAGTGTGTGTGACTGTCAGTGTCTATAGACCACTGAGTGTAGCGTGGCCAAGCGGAGCTCAGCCACGCTACAAGAAAGGTAGGAGGCACACCAGGAAGGGTAGGGGACAACTATGGGGGTGGGTGGTGCACCAAGGGACAGGGAGAGGAGGGTAGAGATACACTAAGGAACAGGAATAGGAGGGAGGAGGGGAGAGGAACACTAAGGGACAGGAAAATAAGGGGAGAGGAGCACTAAGGGACAGGAAAAGGAGCGGAGAGGAACACTAAGGGACAGGGAACAGAGGGAGGAGGGGAGAGGAACACTAAAGGGACAGGAAAAGGAGGGGGAGGGGAGAGGACACTAAGGGACCACTAAGGGATGGTGAGGGGAGAGGGGCTGGATGTGAAAGAAACACAGCGAGGCTTGAGAAGGGGAAAAAGAGTCACACAGAGGGGCTGGGGGGGAAAGAGATACACACAATGGAGCTGGGAAGAGTAAAAGACACAAAGGGGCTGGGAGAAAAGGAGTCACACAAAGGGGCTGGGAGGAGTAAGACACGCAAAATGTGGGAGGGTGTAAGCGTTATACAAAGAGGAGAGATAGGAGACACACAAGGGGAAAAATATGAGATAAAATACACTAAAGGGAGTAAGATATTTAAAAGAAGGGATAAGAAACACAGAAGGGAGGTTAAGATGCACACAGGTTAAGATGTTTTTTGGGAGGGGGCGGAAAAATGCATTTTCACTTATGTACCCAAAATTCTTTGCACCAGCCCTGGGTATAGGATTAATAAATTAACTATAAAGAAATGTCAAATGTAAGGATTTATTTCCAGACACCAGTTAGAGGGAATGAGCACAATTATCACTGTGTATAAATGGGATTGCCTGTAAGGTGAGCTGTCTGGTTACAAAGAATGAGGAGGTTTTTAACACTATCCCCAAAAAGCAGCCCATTTGCTCCACCCCATTCCCATGCATCTGCAAGATGTGCAGTTTCTCCTCTCTGTTTGTTTCACTCTTTCACTAATGCCATCCCCCTTTCTTTCACTCCTAAACCTGACACTCGATAGACCAGTTTGGTAGACACAGAGGCTAGGGAGGGGTAATTGGGTGTTGGGCACCAGCTGACATGGGTGGGGGCACAGAGATGGAGGAGGAGGGAGAGGCTGGTAGCAGAGGACCGGGGGAGGGGAGTGAAAGGCACAGAGGGGTAACAGGCAGAGGGGAGGGGGTTGATACAAGGTGGGGAAGGACTGCACGACTAGGAGCAGCATGGGCGACCAGGAGAATTATTATGGCAAGCATGGTAAGTGAGGGAAGGCCCTTTATTGCCATGGATGCGTTTATAGAACGCTGGGATATTCTGCAGAGCTGGGTGCACGGGGTGGGTTTAAATAACTTAGTGTGATGGACAGTGACAGTGGGGTATGAGTGCTTGGATTCCAGGATTCTAACCTGTGAATGCAGAGTTGTTTGCTTGTGGTGTTAGCAGCAAGGGAGTGGTTGTAAACAATGATATTGATAGGATATAATAGGCGGATTTTAAAAGCCCAGCACTGTCTGAGCCTGTCCTGATAATCTGCAGTCAGGAGGTCTCTGTATATTATATATAAACCCAGCACTGTCTGAGCCTGTCCTGATAATCTGCAGTCAGGAGGTCTCTGTATATTATATATAAACCCAGCACTGTCTGAGCCTGTCCTGATAATCTGCAGTCAGATCGCCTTACATTAGATATAAACCCAGCACTGTCTGAGCCTGTCCTGATAATCTGCAGTCAGATCGCCTTACATTAGATATAAACCCAGCACTGTCTGAGCCTGTCCTGATAATCTGCAGTCAGGAGGTCTCTGTATATTATATATAAACCCAGCACTGTCTGAGCCTGTCCTGATAATCTGCAGCCAGGAGGTCTCTGTATATTATATACAAACCCAGCACTGTCTGAGCCTGTCCTGATAATCTGCAGCCAGGAGGTCTCTGTATATTATTTACAAACCCAGCACTGTCTGAGCCTGTCCTGTTAATCTGCAGATACAAGCCCAGCACCTGTACTGATAGGTTACTGTACGTTCGATGTAAATTCCAGATGTAAAGTGATAGTGATTCACTAGGATTAAGATCTACTCCCAAGCAGCTGGTCCAGGAATCAGTGAAGAGGCTTGGTGATAAGAACTCTAATTACTCCTACACCATATGTATACAAATTGGAATGTTAATTCATGGGAGTTCCCATGAGCCCCTGTAGTGAAGTGACCATTTTGAGTGCAACTTTTTAAAATTAAAATCGTTGGGGGGGGGGGAATACTTCAAATCTAGTGGAGTTTATTTACTAAACTTGGAATATTTGGCTCTGTTGCGGATCACGAAAAGGAAATATTTTAATTCTATGAATTAACAAAATAATTACATATTTTAAAATTTGAAAAATAGCTGAGTGGGAGAATTCTTCAGTTTGGATAATATTTCAAGTAAACCTCAAAGCTTGTGTTTATTCACTAAACCCCAAAGTTCTGTGAATTGAGAAATGAACTGCAACATTTAGGAAAACATATAGCCTGGATTTTGAAAATCTATGTTCAGTTCACTTCAGTTCAATTTCCTTGTTTTTTTTTTTATATAGGATCTGTACATTTTTACCTGATTTTGTGTTTCTGTAAATGATATTAAATAGAAATTGCCAAATTTTATTATGTCTAAAAAATGTTTCCTTTTTCTGGGAACTTTGTATACAAGAGAAATACATAGGGTTATTCCCTAAGCTCTGAAAAGCTTTTTTTTTGGGGGGGGGGGAGAATCTTACTATATTCTGCCAGTTTGGGCGCAGTTTATCAGAGTTTGATAAATATTTACATTTATCAAAATCTCTCTCTCTCTTTCTGACATTTGTTCCTCTAAACTAAACAAGCACGTTTTGCGTGATTTAAATTAAACCCTGAATCACTTAAATTAACTAAGAGGGCTATTTACTAAACTCTGACTTTTTGGAATTAACTATGAATGGGAAAACAGAGGCGGATGATCTAGAAAAATGATGCAGTTTAGCCGTAGTCAAAGCTTTTTCGTTACATTTTTTTTTTTCATTGTTTCTTTTTTGACATTTTGGATTTAATTCACAAAGTCAGTAATATTGACATTTTGGCCAATGATTCTTTGGTGAATTCTCAACAATTTCCAGTTAAGACAATTTATTATGACTTATTCTCTAAACAGTGGATTGTAGCAAATTCAAAATTGCAAACGTAAACTAAAATTGATAATTTAGGAAAATTTTCCATCTTCGCTAAAGTCACCGTGCAGCTGTTTTTGTCACTAAAATTTGGTTACTCATATTTCGACTTGCTACAATTCAGAGTTTAGTATATAAACATCCCTACAAAGGCACTTCCTTGCTCATAGAATCCTCTATACTACTACGGTGTCTATGGCACCTACTGATACAGTTATGTCAGCGAATGAGGCTGCTGGCTGCTTCTGTTACTTAATCTCAGTCCCATGTAATCACACTGGGTAGCTGAGGTCACCAGTGTAACAGCTGCATTATGGAAATTTTTCAGATTAGAAGGATAAAAGTAAGACTTATGTATCTGATCTTTAGTTTGAAATTTAAAGGCCATTTCTTTGGAAAGAGAATTCATATTTCCAATCTCGTATGTTTATGATTCATACACTAAACAACAAACTAGCAAATTGCAATATATATTACTGTACGCAAGGCAGGTTACACTTCTCAGCGTAAGAACTACAGGAAATCTGGATGGGGGCATCCTTTCATAACCAATTTAATTCCAGCCCCTTTAGGAGCATACGTTAAACGATAAATGATATATTATCACTGGAGACTTTTTTAGTTTCAGTTGATTGGGATATAGTCCTCTTTAAGTTACATACATATGTTTTATTCTTATTTTAAATGGATACTATTGTGTTATTAAAACGAACCTGTATTTCTAATGCTATAGCGATCTTCTATTTATTTAGACTCAGGGCCCCTAGATCCTAAAGAAAACAAATTGTGGGAAAAGGTTTTATTTTCCTTTGTGGTTTTTTCTCGCAGCGCCAAGAACCAATTTCTCACAGTGGAGATCTGCATCCGGCAGGCAGCCACTGAAGGGGTATTTAACCCTGAAATGTAAACATTGCTGTACATTGCAGGGTTAGACCTAAAAGACCACTGTACCCTGGCCACCTCAATGAGATAAAGTGCCTTTACTGGTCCTTACAACTGTGAAACATATGATCCAAATTTCTACACATGGATAACGAGGTGGGAATTTTAAAGGGAAACTATAGTGCCAGGATAACAAAAGATCCCTACAGTGCCCCACTTCTGTCAATTACCAGCGCCGATGTTCCTACGAGCTAGTTTGGGCTGCCTTCGCTCCCCGTCGTTGATGTCAGCTGGCAGGGGAGATCTAATGGGCATGCGTGGCAATGGCCACACTCGCATTAGTATTTCCTTATAGGAAAGCGTGTATAATGCTTTCATATGGGGTTTTACATGACGCTGGATGTCCTCATGCGAAGCTTGAGGACTGTATCGGAGCGGCAATATTAAATCCCACGATCTCCGCTGGTTCAGAAGGTAATCCACAGTCAAGCGCTGAAAAGTAAGGCAATATCCCAAATCTCCCAGTAACCGGACGAAACACAGTTCTGAGAGTCAACTGAGGCTTTATTCACAGGCTCCACAATTTATACAATTCCCCATGCAAGGTGTTTCCTGAGTCCTATCCCAGGGGTATTCCAGGGGTGGACTACGTGGGGAACTTACAGTACAGAGCATTTCTCCCATCAGGCACTGCTGCACGAGAGGGATACTCCCACTGGAATGTACCGTTAAGTGGATTATCCCTCCGTGCAGCAGAACCAGCAATTTACATTAAAAAATACAACTTTTCGAATATTAGGTCTATTTGCACGAATCGACGTTCGGTAGATAGCTGGGGTCTGAGCGCATCATTCGTGAGATTACCGCTCAGATCCCAGCTAAAACAACCGAACGCGGTACGAAAAACACATTCACCAAAACATGCATTTAAAAGACAGATTGATATATGGGGAATAAAATACCGAACGACCTGGAAGTCCAGCAGTGTTCGCGCCGTCTAGTAGCCGTTTTTAGTACCACGCACTCGACGACCAAACACTGCTGGAGGAACAAAGGATCCAAGATGGCCGACCGCCGCGTGGTCGGTAGTCGACCGACGGCCACCTAGGAGAGCCTCTAATTACCGATTGCAACATTGTTGCAATCGGTTAACAAGCGCCACACATCTCTTAATGTGTGGGCTATTACAGGGGGGATTATTCGGTTCACGAATGGCCCGCAAAGGTGCCGTTCGTGAAACGAAATGACATACAGCTATCTGCTTTCGGCAGATAGCCAATGCAGGCAATACAACACTATACAGTCAGCATACATTACACCCAGGAACATACACATCCCCCCAACCATACAGGCAACCCTTAAAGCCATAGTCTCTGTATAATGTCCAAGTGGCTAGGTCTGCCACAAGAACGTCCATCACAGGGCAACCAAAAATCGCCTAACGACCTGCAAATTCCTCTGGTAGACAGCCACTAGAGGTGGAGTTAACCCTGAAATGTAATGATTGCAGTTTCTTTAAAGCTGCAATAATTACCTTTGCAGGCTTAAGGGACCTGGGAATATGTACCCAAACAACTTAATTGAGCTGAAGTGGTTTGGGTGCCTATAGTGTCCCTTTGAAGCGCTCAGCCCTCCCCACTAAATTTTCTGTGGGGTATTTGTTGCCCCAAGTTCATTATTCCCACAGAAAGAGCTATATTTGATTTGTAAAAATTTGCCAATTTGCTCTACTGTTAATACAATTAACTATTTAGTGAATAGACCCCTAGAAGGGTACACTGCTTAAATCAATAGTAACAATGAAAAGTATAATGATTTTGTTCTCCATTACTGTTGATGTATGATTAATGTTCCTCCATTACTGAAATATGTATGTACATCTCAAAGCCTTTTCCCATTGGAGCTGCTGGAGAGTTCTTCCATGGCAAAGTTTGAACCTCTTCAAATCCTAATCCATTGGATTCAATGCCTCCCTTTTGAGAAGCATTTGATTGGACAAGTTGCGGCACTTGCTGCGCATGCTTGTCTCTTCCTTTTGTTTTTCCCCAAAATTTTATTGAGGGGGGAGCTCCTGATTTTAAATATGTAGGAAAATGGGAATACTTGTTTGTATTCCTAATGCTCCAGAATTCCTGTAAGAAATACAAGCTGAAAAAATTATCTACTTCAGCTATTTCTCCAACTTGACCATTCTGGCCCACAATGCAATTCTCTTCTCAAGTGATGATTTAGTATATAAACCTCCAAGAAATGTGAACCGGCAGTGCAACAGAATTATAAATATATATGCTATAAGGTGTGCAAATTTTTATATATATATATAATCATTTTTTAAGTTTTTGACCTATGAATTGCAAGTGGCATTCCAGGATTCCATTGTTTAGGAAAAGAGTTAACCAAAAAAAAAAATATCTTTTTACAAATAAGAATTTAAACAATAATTGTCAGAAACTGTGAGATGTGCAAGAGGACACATTGAGGTCTATGGAGGATCATGGGTTCCTCCATAGAAAGAGCTTAATATCCTTACAGCTATCACTAGTAACAGAGGTTTGATGGCGGTAATTCTGAGACAAAGTGGTGATATTCCAACACAGTCAATGTGAAGAATTCACAAAGATTCTATTTTTTTTATGAAATATTCATTTTGGATTGGGAGGGTTGACAGTGCTTCTTTAAAGAGATCCTATAGTGCCAGGAAAACAGAGCTGTTTACCCTGCACTATAGGTTTTTATGGAGCCTCCCTCACGTTCCCCCTCCCATGGGATTGAAGGGGTTAAAACCCCATTAGACACTTACCTGAAACCAGCGCCGATGTCCCTCAGCCCTGGGTCAGGCCCTGCCCACACTCCTCCCACGTAATGTGCATGCTTTCCTATGGGTAAAATCTGACCCTGGAGGTCCTCATGCTGAGTGCGAGGATGTCTAGCATCAGATAATGGACAAGAGCTCTGTTTGGATTCCGGGAGCCGTCTGGTGGCTGTTTGGTAGACAGCCCCTAAGGGCAGTCTTAGAGCTGCAATGTAAACATTGAAGTTTCTCTGGAACTAAAATGTTTGACATTGCAGCACTACGTGCACTAGGGACACTGCACCCAGACCACTTCAATTAGCTGAAGTGGTCTGGGTGCCTACAGTGTCCCTTTAAGCAGACTTCGAGATGGTTCTGAATGAAGCTCACTTGCTACATATCTGCATATATTCATATATATATATATATATATATATATATATATATAACGCTGCAGTCTTCATTCACCAACTAGCTAGAGCTGATCTAAAAGGTCTCAGAAGTCTCTGTATATTATATCACTGTCTGAGCCTGTCCTGATCATCTGCAGTCAGGAGGTCTCTGTATATTATATATAAACCCAGCACTGTCTGAGCCTGTCCTGATAATCTGCAGTCAGGAGGTCTCTGTATATTATATATAAACCCAGCACTGTCTCAGCCTGTCCTGATAATCTGCAGTCAGGAGGTCTCTGTATATTATATATAAACCCAGCACTGTCTCAGCCTGTCCTGATAATCTGCAGTCAGGAGGTCTCTGTATATTATATATAAACCCTGCACTGTCTGAGCCTGTCCTGATAATCTGCAGCCAGGAAGTCTCTGTATAATAGATATAAACCCAGCACTCTCTGAGCCTGTCCTGATAATCTGCAGTCAGGAGGTCTCTGTATATTCTATATAAACCCAGCACTCTCTGAGCCTGTCCTGATAATCTGCAGTCAGGAGGTCTCTGTATATTCTATATAAACCCAGCACTCTCTGAGCCTGTCCTGATAATCTGCAGACTGCCCATATATATTAGACAGCTCTGTCTCTCTCTGATGCTGTCATTGTGTGTAAATAACAGGCTCTGTGTGTATGTACACAAGGCGTGGAGGGTTTGTATTGCAGTCTAATTAATCATGAGCGTATATAGGCCACACAAATAGCCACTTTCCATTTCAAGGAGCTTAAAGGATCACTGTAGTGTCAGGAAAACACTATATCATCCTTAGGGTCCCCCCACCCTCAGGGCCCCCATCCCTTTGCCCTGAAGGGGTTAAAACCCCTTCAGCTACTTACTTTAATCCCCGCTGACGTCAGCTCTCAAGTGGAGCGTAATGCGCATGCGCAGCAAGAGCCGTGTGCGCATTCAAACAGTCCATAGGAAAGCATTTCTCAATCACAGAAACGCCTCTAGCTGCTGTCAGGAAGACAGCCACTAGAGGCTGGATTAACCCTGCAATGTAAACATAGCAGTTTCTCTGAAACTGCTATGTTTTTATATCTGAAGGGTTAAAACCTGGGGGACCTGGCACCCAGACCGCTACATTGAGCTGAAGTGGTCTGGGTGACTATAGTGTCCCTTTTATATATAATTTCTATATAATTTCCAAAACTAACCACTGGCAACTTCGTAAGAACGTTTCAGCTGCTGGCAAGACAGGGTTAAAACATGTTACAAATTTTACAAAGGTTTGGTTTCTAAAGTCCAGAGATACAAAATTTAACTTCTTCATAAATGGAGCTCAAGGTTGTAGAAGCTTGGCCACAGTATTGACGAATTCGGTGGGCAGTTGATTGAGGCTCTGGGCGATGTACTGTATTAATGCTCAGGCTGAGGAAATAGTCTGTAAAGACAAGATTCATCAAGACCATATCAAGTTATAGCAGAGCCTTATTCTGTGTCAACACATGTTTTGTGAGAAAGCTTAGTTTTGATGATGACAGAGGGATTTTTTTTTAAAATCCTTATCTACAAGGCTGCTAACACAACAATGTTATAAAGTCACTCTTGTGATGATACTGTATCAATGGCCTCCTGCATTAGTGCAGATTTTTATAGTCTGACTGTTGAGGGAGGAATTCCAGGTAAAGGGTAAGAGATGAAGTGGCTTTCTTAAGGCACACACCAAGCATGTACACGAGTAATGCATATGAGTAGTAATGGATTCCCTGAAACTCCTTGTGAGTCTATAACGCACTCCTGTGCCAGGATTTGGGGATCAACAAAGCACTGCTGGCATGCCTCCGGCTGTTCAGAGCGTTGCCACAGGCTTCCACAGATACGGAACGCCAGATCTTCGGAAGATCTTCCACCAGGGGAAGATATCCAAAGGCTGGGGGCCTGGTGGGAATAACCATGTGTGAACCACCTAATTCATCTCCAAACTACCAAATCCCTGTCCAGACAACCACCAAACCCCTCCTACTGCTTCAAGAGCAGTAGGGGGGTGCACTTCTTTGTTAAATGTAATGTACCTCCTTTAAATCTAATATTATTATTATTATTATTATTATTATTATTACTTTAAAAGTCATTCATTGATAATCAGAGGCGCATTATTCTTTCAAACGTTTTAGGTTTTGACAAACCAATTACTATTTAGTCCAAACAAATAAATTAGGAAGAGGAGCGAGTGCCTACCTGTGTTCTGTTTTTCGTTGATTACAGTCCTACCTTAAAGGACCACTATAGTGCCCTGAGGGTGCCCCCACCCTCAGGGTCCCCCTCCCGCCGGACTGGATAGAGAGGAAGGGGTTAAACTTACGTCTTTCATCAGCGCCGGGTGGGGAGCTCCTCTCCTCCCTCTTCTCCTCCTCTTCGGCTGAATGCGCATGATTTTCACAGTGAGAAGCACGCAAGCGCCTCTAGCGGCTGTCGAGACAGCCACTGGAGGCTGGATTAATCCATTTATAAACATAGCAGTTTCTCTGAAAAAAAAAAAGAGGTTAATCCTGGCTGGACTTGGCACCCAGACCACTTCATTAAGCTGAAGTGGTCTGGGTGTCTATAGTGGTCCTTTAAAGGTGAACATGACCGTATCTTATTCGCTTTTCATTTTCTTCAGCAATATCTGTTAAGAGTAATGAGTATTATAGTAATTAATAATATAGTATTAGATTAAGATGCTTATATGGAAAATATTTTTCTGCTAAAGAGCCAGGAATAAAAATCAATTTGTGTAATTTTCATGGTAAAATCAACGCACTGGGGGGGCGGGGCCTGACCGCCAAACCGAGCGGACGCACTACACATCAGCTCCAGACCAAAATTCACATTAATGCCCAAACTCACTGCTCTGTAGCCCTTTCAGGCTGATGACCTACGACCGGAGGCTCCTGGGCATCTCTAGAAGCAATTAGGGATCCGTAGCTGACTTGCGGCAGCCGACAGGCAACAATTGAGGCCTGGCCTAGGGCCTTGCTGGGCATACCAGGAGTGCGACAAGGGCCCTGTTTCCCCCCCGTGGTCTGGTGGGGGTTATCCCGGACCCCACCAAGATAACACTCACCTTGGTAAAGCTGCAAACAAGCAACCATGGCTACACAGCCTGCAGAGACACGAATCAGCCGGAGCTCATCCAACATGGCTGCCAAGCTAAGGCCAGAGAGAGGGAGCATGGGCAGCCATTCACACTCTTATTCCCTACAGGCCCTTGACCGGCTCTGCTCGAGCCTATGCGTGATACTATGTGACGGCGGAATGCCATACCGTCAAGCAACCTGTGTGGTGGCCTCATGGATTCGTCCTGCGACCCGCCGGCGCCATTATGGATTCCCACTGCAGACCTTCAAAGCGACCATCCAGCCACGCAAGCATCGATGACCACAATGGCGGGAAAGGGACCCAAGCGACCCGTGCGCACGCGCCCGCTCCCACACACAGGATCGAGACCGCCGGGCAACCCCAAAATCCAAGCAACATACCCAAGTGCAGAACCTCAGGCCAGCATGTAACCACTTTGTACTCCAGGGCTAAAGCGGAGCATCACGCCGCAGCACAGGAGAAAACTAAGCAGAACCCAGCTGGAGCTGGGTCCACACCAAGGGACTCCATGCAGACCACTGAGACTACTTACCCACAATGGCCAACCCTGAGGGGGTACCTACCATGCCGCACAAGTGCACATAGCACCCAAGAGACCCACACTCGGCACCAACAGCCCAGCAGGGCAGGCATCGGCTGACCACGGATGATCCCACAAGCTGAGGCCCAGACACCTCTCTCTGGCCCCGGAGTGGATTCCTGAGCAACAGCACTGACTCTCTGGGCACCGGGCTATACTGCCTCACAGACTCCTCTCTCTCTATAAAACTGCATATGCTGTTGGCGAACTATGAGTTGGAAGCGTAAGCTCAAGTGAAGTCCTACTCACACCCTGATCTGCCAGGCAAAACAAATCGTTTAACATTAATTTAACACTGTTTTTCTTTTACCTTAACATGCTACATAGGCAAGTAACTTACAACACTAGCCTGCTTCACATAAGTTAGCGACACTTTACTATACTTTAATCACCGTGCCTGGCTAGCCTCCCTGAGTTAATATAAATGTATATTCCAGCTTGGACATGTGGAACTAGCCTGCTCCCACTCGAGATTTAACTTAATTTTACTCCACTGTCGTCTAGCTTAGCGCACTTATAACTACATTTACTGCATAACGATGTGTAGCCAGAATCTAGGAAGGGAGTGTTTAACCCTGTCTACCCCAGTTACAAACTGCCTCACCCTAGCCTGATTGTTACCCTCATTATCAACGAAGTTATTTTATGTTATGGAAGAGACTAAGTAATGATAATACACACTGTTTATTACTCGACGTAATCATCTATATGTATAGAAATGTGCTAGCCTTAACAAGTACCTCCCATGCCTTACTGTTTGAAATGCGCTAGAGGATTGCCTTTGGGGTACCTCACAAGCGACTGTTACAAACTTACGCACTACAAAAATAAAGAATTTAAAAAAAAAAAATCTACGCACTGACCATTGATCTTGGTATAGTTTGTAGTCAAGGCTTTATAAACGTGCAGGGTCAGCACACACGGAACATGAGGCTGCCACATTTAAGTAACTATAGAGTTAACTTGGGTTTTGGCAAATAAGCCAATTCTGAATCACAGAATTCAGCAGTAGTGCAACTGACCCGCCTAAAGATTCTGTTCCATCTCGCATGTGCTGGCTGGCTGTATGACCTTGGCACTGCTGCTGTTTATTAATGAAAAATAATAAAAATGTTGTTATACTCAGCCACTCAGCTGATGGATTACAGGTTAAACTAATAATGAACTTGTATGGCGAGAATTTTGCGCCGTAAAATGATTATAATTGCTGGTATGTCCTGCAAGTGGCATAGTGATGGCATAATCTGGGCATTTTTACACTTTGGCTTTCCACTTATGAGCGGCACCCAATTTGAGGCTTCCTGTTTCAAGCCTCGGACTCAAATGTATGTTGAGGGGGCAGAGCTGAACTGTGCCGGCGACTTTTGGGTTAATCCGTTTGTTACCAGTTTAAACCCTGAAGATAAGGTGTCGCCAGGGCTGGTTTAAGAGCCCACTGGGCCTGGTGCTGCCAATTATGATTTTTATCAACAGAAAACACTAAACGAGTTATATCTCCCGAGCGTCATGAATCTGGTGCTGGAGGGAAGCACACAGGATATAGCTATCAGAAAACGCATACCCTATGCTAATCTCTCACTTTCATATTTCAAATAAATCCATACCCCCTAACAGCAGTGTCCGGTGAAGCAAGATTACGGTGGGCGGGGTAAAAGGGTGGGCCACTGATGTGAATCACGTAACCAGGACCGCCCAAAGGGACAAACATAACCAAAGAGGGGGCATGTCTGCACGAAGAATTTGATGGACAGTCTGGCGTGAATGCATGTCACACTGCCTGCCAATCATGCAGGATGTCCAACCAAGGGCATACTGCGCAGACAGCACCATGAGCTTGGCATAAATGCTTCTAATGATGCATTATCTCTACGCTTTCTAAAGAGTGTCCCCTAGCACTTGCTGGTTCACTCCTCTCTTAATCTTCTTACTAACAGGCAGCAGCTCCTGTGATACAGTCTGGGACAGATAGAAAGTGTATGTAGTGAGTGTAGAAGAAAAGGAACATGTCACAATGTTAGAGAGACTGAAGCAGCAAGGGTATTTGCATAGTGTGCAAAGTCAGCTTTACATTAACTAATTTCGTTGTCAGCCAGTCCACACGTTTGGTTCCTCTACATCGATCTTAAGTTTCCATACTTAGGCAAGAGCATGTGAAGAGTACTAAAAAAAATTCTTAATTTTTATTTTATTTTTTATCAATGGGCCTATTCCATGGGCATGGGCCGGGAGCTGCAACTCCATCAGCCACTATGTTAATCGGGCCCTGGATGGCACCAGGGACCTGTTGGAACCAAAACAGCTAAATTCCAATGAAGTTATATTACCTACATGTTTCTTTAAGTTGTTATTTAACAACGTCATGAAAGCATAAACACTGTGCCATATCCATTGATATGTTAGAGCAGCGTCCCCTGGGCAATAATTCTGCCTTTATATAGAAGGTTTAGGGTACACCTGCCATTTCGAAAGCCTTATTGTGATTCTCCAACTCTCTAAACATGAGCTAGCCATAAGTTTAACACTAACAGTGTTATTTTTGATGGTGCCGCTCCTTGTGTGTGTTTGCTATTTCAATCTTGTTGACATAACGCTCAGAATTTCAATAAGTATTGTCAGAATTTTTACATTCCATGCATTAATAGCAATTTTGTGTGTGTATGGCTGTCTTGTAGTTCATGAAGGGTTCAGTATAACTGTGTGGTTAGGATAGCCTAACGTCTATGAGGGCAATTTGCATGGTCGTTCTAGTTTGGCAATGTGAGGAAGAAGGATACTGGTTACATTTTGGACAGATTCACATCTCTAGGGCCTGTAGGCACCGACGGCTCAGGCTCTCCTACCTCTCCACCAAAAAAACAGTTCTTTGTTTTGGACGGCTCTATGGTTTGGAAGAGGCAAAAAAAAGTCTTGTGGCAAAATAAAAAATCCATGAAATTATGAAAGGGAAAAACATACATTTTGTTCTTAGTGGAGGCACCTCAAATTCACAGGCACCTATAGGCAGCTGCCTACTCGGCCTATGAGCAATCACTGTATATGTGCTTGTTACACTGTATATGTGCTTGTTACAGGAGAATGGTGTAACTGTGTGATGGAGATTCTAATGCTGTTGGTAACCTAAAAGAAGGGGGGAGGCTGGTTTTAATTTTGGCTACACTATATCTCTTCCTGGATACAGTTATGGTGTAACTGAGAAGAAAGTGAGGCTGATTCTGGTGTTGCTTAAAGAGTTAATAAGTGATTTGAAGTGGTCATGGTGCCTGGAGTCTGTATATGCAGCATTTCACTTTGATACGCAGCACATACAGAGGTTACCCCATCTGATGTCTGAGGTGTAATACCACCTCTGGTAGTGTCCTTAGCTATCCTGGAATTAAAGTACCGACCTGGTGTGTGTGAATTTGTGCATTTTGGACTTGTCGTCGGCAGGTTGGCGACAGTTGTCCAGTGGCAGCTTGGCTAACCTCAGATATTGACCCCGGCTCTCGAACCAAGATTTTATCTTTCTTTTAACCCAGCAAGGATTACTCTAAACCAGAGCTTCCCAAATACCTGTAGATAGTTCCTTAGGCGTTGTAGAACTACAAATCCCATGATGCTTTGCATGCCTTTAGAATGACAAAGCACCATGGAAGCTGTAGATTTAACCCCTTAAGGACACATGACATGTGTGACATGTCATGATTCCATTGTATTCCAGAAGTTTGGTCCTTAAGGGGTTAAAACATCTGGGTTCTAAATATTGGGCACCTGTGCTCTAAACAAAAACAGTTCCTTTTTAGGGGGGGAGAGGATTTATCACTATTTTTGGTTGAAGTAACTCTTTATTCTCTATATTTGCCATGTTGTAATTGAGAAGCTGATTGTGCTGTTGGTTACACCGTGTACATGCTATAGCTATGCTAGGTTGGGTATGGTCCTCTAACCGACTGTCTATTTCTCTTTTCAGGTGAACCCCGGAAGTATGATCCAAACTTCAAAGGTCCGATCCATAACAGGTAATAATGAGATTGGTGGCAAAGGAGGCTATAATTTATTCCACCAATGCTGCTAATATAATGTATTAAACCTGTTACAGTAATTCAGTAACATAAAAACATGATGAAAATACTGCTATGGGTGGACATTTAATTCTGTTTAAAACCACATTCCACTGCTAAGAGAAATGCAGGATGATGTGTGAGATAGAATGCCTGTCTTTGCTCATCTGCAGTTAGAGTTGGAAATTCTGGGACAATTGTTGAAACAATTTTTTTTTTCTCTCTCTGAATTACTGTTACTAAAGTAGAATTGTCTCAAAACTCGAGATATGTTGATAAACAGTAAATTCTGAATTTGTATAAATTGGTCATTACATCAGATTATTGACATACAAAAGCTGACAAAGGACGTGACAAGACTAAAGCGCCACCATTTGTCAACCTGGAGGCCCCAAATAATGAAATGTAGTCCCAAATATTCCTTATGTATATCTCAAAAATATTGCCAGGGGAGCATGCCAATACAACAAAAAAATAAGTGACACACGATAAGGACAAGATTGTGGTCCTTAAGTGTAGTGTGTGTTTTTATTATTTGGTCGTTCCCCCATCCCCTTTTTCTTCCCTTGTAGCAAAACTATAGACATTTGAAAACCACAGCATTAATATGAGGGCAAAACGTACCAATTATATTTAATTTGTGATAATTCTCAGTGTTTCTTCATCGGATTATGAATAAAGTCCTTTAGTGGGTTAACTGCTTTTGATTATTGCCATATTTTTTTTAATTTTATTTTTATACTTTTTTCCTTTTTTTTTTTTTCTAAATTGTGATGATTAATGCATGACATGTGGCGTTTTGGTTTTTCGCCTGTTTAAAATTACATTTATTTTCCATAATAGACAATGGATGCCATTGTTGTGACACATCTTGTTCATTATTTGGGAATAGTCTCTGCAATAGATCTTTTAAGCTGGATGACATTTGATTCTTTGATAATTGTCTTTTCTTAGCTGTGCATTCTACGTAGGTTTTTTTTTTTTAATAAACTGAACAAAGCCTTTTCAGCTATTGATTGGTGCTTAATAAACAGTAAAACAGAGTATCCCTTAAAACATTTTGCTGTCAAACGACACAATTATAACCTTAAGCTTGACTAGCTTTTCTAAAGGCATACCTACCCTAGCGTGTTATACTACATAAACATTACCTACTAGCCTGTCAACCTCAAATACATAGATAAGCGGGTTACTTATATATATAATAAATGCGTAGACCAACATGTGACCTAGCCACTTGAATGCTGTTACCGACAAACATGTTGAATCGTACAAAGCTTAATGTTGTCTTAAATGATCCTTAAATGATAAAAACGTGCTAAGTTTAAATAAGCCACGAAAATGTTTTTGAATGTCGTATTTGGGACAGCCACTAGAGGATTTAGAGGCTGGATTAACCTATTTATAAACATAGCAGTTTCTCTGAAACTGCTATGTTTATAAGAAAAATGGGTTAATCCTAGAGGGACCTGGCACCCAGACCACTTCATTAAGCTGAAGTGGTCTGGGTGCCTAGAGTGGTCCTTTAAGCAAGGTCATCAGACACTCTTTTACGCTATCTAGAGATTAAAAGACACTCTAAGCAGCAATTTAAGCACATATTTGTGAATTGGGCTGTGTAAAAAGTAATGACCGCTGCAGTATGAATTTAAAGCCGTCTCAATCTTTCTATGTGACGATTGGAACTGTAGCTAGGGAATAAGCCTCTCATCCAATAAACAACTGCTGGAGAGAAGTTTATGGCAGTGGTTCCCAAGGCAAACTTCAAAACGTGAAGAATCTCCGAGACACACCAACTTATTCTTTTAACTTTTATCAGTAACTCCTGAATCTCACATTTACTGGAGAGAGATGCTCCTCGTCAAACTTATTTATTGGGTTTTAATTATCAGCCAGATACACAGGAAGCTCATTTTTTTAATGCTGACCCTTTTTAAAGACAAACTTTTTTTTAAGGACTGCACTCCTATTACAACCTATGACAGTCTTAAATGTAGTTGTATTTGTGGCACACTGGTTGACTTCAGAGATCAGAATGAGAGGCTCCTGATTGGTGGTGCCACTTCCTGGTTTTGGTTGAGCATACTTTGCATGATGAAGATGGATATCAAATGACTTTCATAATGTATCCATTTAAAGTCCTTGTCGCATACACACACCACCATAAATTTTTTATAATAATCACAGGTCCCTTTAAAAAAAACCAAAAAAAAAACCCTATGTTTGACCCTGGCTTGGAATAATGAATCACAAAGTCTTGCATTGTACGTGACAATGTGTATCTCTCTTTTTGGGCTGCTTATCAGATAAGATGGTATCTCTGTTCTTACAATGCTGTCAGATAGTTCTAAAAACACCCTGTGGAAAGTTTAAATTTTAAAATGCTGCAATCCACTCTATAATCTTTAGTGCTCACTCACAGGAAATGACAGAATGCTCGTAACTCCCTTCATTATCAAAAATGTGTATAATTGTATAAATTGATTTTCAGTTGGATCACCTCGCTCTATTAGGTCTCTGCAAATAGGCCGAAAATGCCCCTGACATGACATAGCAACCTTTAAAAAAGGCATCCTTGGCATTTCATTCAGATTAACCAATTTCCCATAATTCTGTGGTGCAGTAAGCTTTCCTCAGTTGTGTTGATTTGATGGGGGTGTGGGGTAGTGGGGGAGTAGTTAGGTGGACAAGCTACATACCCATTAAGATTAACAGCAAATCAAAGTGAATCCATGACCGTAGGAGTGTGCCTGGGGGGTATCCTTGCACATTGGCTTCACCATAACCATTGGGATGCTCTAATTAAAATTATCAGAAAGGCATGCATGCTATTACAGGAACTGAAATTTAAGATTTTTCTGATTTGGAAAGAATCTGAATTTTTATTAAATGACAGAAGGTCTATATTTCACTTTAAAATTAAAACAAAAACAAAAAAACAGGAAGGTTTTCTTCTGCTCGGGTGGCTCCACAAGGCTAACGGAAGTAGCTGGAGCGCTAGACTGGAGCATGCCTGCTCTCTTTCCCTTCTCAATGAGCCGTATGTCAGGGTCTTACCTGAGATGGGAGTCTTTAGTGCAGATAGACACAGTCCAAGGTGACCAGGTAAGAAGCCACCTGGACTGTAAATCTGTGCACTGGGGCTGTAAAAGGATTCCAATGCAGTACCAACAAGGATAATATGAGGTCAATATGGAGTTGAAGATCAAGAGACAGGAACATAGGAACGGAACGTTATTTACACACAGGAGGCAGGATCTGGAAGGCTATTAAAGGACCACTATAGTGCCAGGAAAACATACTCATTTTCCTGGCACTGTAGGGTCTCTAGGTCCCCCCCTCCTGCCGGGCTCTGGGGTGAGGAAGGGGTTAAACACTTACCTTTTCTCCACCCCCAGGCTCCCTCAGTGGTGGGGACTCTCTCAGCCAGTCCATAGGAAAGCATTCTCAATGCTTTCCTATGGACACTGGCGTCTTCTCACTGTGAGAATCACAGTGAGGAGCGCGGAAGCGCCTCTAGCGGCTGTCAATGAGCCAGTAGAGGCTGGATTAACCCATAGGTAAACATAGCAGTTTCTCTGAAACTGCTATGTTCACAGCAGAAAGGGTTAATCCTAGATGGACCTGGCACCCAGACCACTTCATTAAGTTGCCTATAGTGGTGTGTACAGAGACTGTGTAAGTCACGTGTAGGGAGGTGTGACAAGGGCTGCATAAACAAAGTAACATTTGAATACTGGGAAGAAAAATTATATTTTAATTAACCCCTTAAGGACCAAACTTCTGGAATAAAAGGGAATCATGACATCTCACACATGTCATGTGTCCTTAACGGGTTAAACAAATTATTTTTATTTTTTATTTATTTTTTGGTCTGGCTTTAGGCCCAGTATTGCAAAAATTACAAAACAAAATGGCCATGTGCGGCTTCAGTATCCCATGATACCTATGCTCTATATAGATGGAGGTTGTTTTGGAAGTAGTTTTTTTTTTTCAGATGAGGCAGGATGCAAACTTCCATTTGGCATGTCTTTAAACTGGCAGAGACTGCAAGTCATCATCTGTTCCTGCAGATAAACCAGAGTGTAAATAAATCCTTGCGATAAAATGGTCTTAAAATGTTTCTTTTTTTTTTTAATTTTACAGAAGCTGCACGGATATCCTGTGCTGTATACTTATTGTACTTGGCATCATTGCATACGTGGCTGTAGGAATTGTGGGTGAGTACACCCTGAAGCGTGTCAACAACAGGCCTGCAAAGAAACTGGTTACATTACATTTCTGAACTTAAGATATTTGCATGTTTCGTACTCCACACTAAAACTGTAAAACCACTTCCTATATATTTTGTAATAAAGCATTAGTTATTTATTAAGGGTGTTGTTTAGATGTTTTTGTTTTTTTTCATAACTTTGTTGATTAAGGTTCGCTGAAAAGTAAATTATAGCTTATAGAAATGTAGATGTAAAGGGTAAATCGCTGAAAGCATAAAATGTAAAGCAAAAAAATTTTAAATAACAAAACATTTCGAAGTTTTTACAGCATTACATTTTCACTTTAAATATAAAGCTGTCACAGTGCTCTGATCTGTGTGTGAGGGATGTTGCTGTGCTATGATAGTCGTGGTGCTCGGATTTATTTGCAATGGGTACTTGTTTTGCTCTGATTTGTGACATGGGAAGTAGCAAGGCTCTGATTTATTTGCAATGGGTAGTCGCTTTGCTCTGATTTGTGACATGGGAAGTAGCAAGGCTCTGATTTGTGTGCGGGGCAATCGCTTTGCTCTATTTTGAGTGAGGGCAATCGCTTTGCTCTGAAGCCGGTACAATGGTCGTTAGCAGGGCTCTTATTTATTTGTAATGGGCAGTCGCGGTGTTCTTATTTGTGTGATGGGCAGTCACTTTGCTCTGATTTGTGTGCGGGGCAATCGCGTTGCTCTAATTGGTGTGAGGGGCAATCGTAGTGCTCTGAAGCAGGTACAATGGTCATTAGCAGGGCTCTTTATTTGCAATGGGCAGTCGTGGTGCTCTGATTTGTGTGAGGGGCTGTTGTAGTGCTCTGATGCAGGTACGATGGGCAGTTGCAATGATCTGATTTGTGTGCTGAAATGTCAAGGACTTTAGAAACCAGCTATTTCAATGTCCTGTCTGTCTATGTTCAGACTCTCTTGTTAAAGGGATACTCGAGTGCTAGGAATACAAAGTGTATTTCTGGTAATATCGCTCCTTCTCCCTCGCACCCACCCTCCCCTGTAAATCAAGGATTAAAAACAACCACTGGAGGCAGACTTAAAAAAAAAAAAAAAAAATTGTAAACAATACAGTTTCTCTGGAACGGCAATGTTTAACATTGCAGCACTAAGTGCGAAAGGACAGTGCCCCCACACCACTTCAATTAGCTGCAGTGGTCTGGGTGCCTATAGTGTCCCTTCAAAGATCCTCTCCAAGTAGGACTGGTCATGTGACGTAATGCCACATTTGGCCAATATTGTTTGTTCACAAAACTCCTCTAATGCCTCTCATGTGCAAGAGCCGTTGGCAGACAGAAGGGCCACATTGTCTGGACTGTCATTACAAAATCAAGATGCTTGCCAACTATCGGTTATACATGTATAGATCTTCACATCCCCTCCTAACAGGCAGAGTGCAATCCATGTCTAATTCACTGCAGTATAAAGGTTACGTGAAAACCAGACTCTTCCACTTGTAATCAAGATAAAGGGAAACGTTTACTTGGATTTTAACCAAACAAGGTGGAGTGGTCAATAGCAAGGTTGTATATATTATTCAGAGAGCCGTTTGGGCACTCCTTAGATTTAGTGTTTGTATTTGTCTGTTTACGTAGGGTTTCCTATGAATCGTGGTCTAGTTGGCTACACGGGAAGTGGATAACCTGTTTCTATAAAGTATCTGCAGATCCATGAGGCTTGACAAATAAACATCTAACGAGTTGGCAATCATTGTCTGTATAGATTGTGGTCTCAATCTGCGCTGAATTAAATATGAATCGCAAACATTCTATTTGATTATCGGGATGTTCTGCTTGGTATAAAAAGAGAAAATGAACTCAAATCATAAGGTTATACTAATCGTTCATTAAAAAAAAGGCTAATTGAAATGAATATATTATGGTGCTCAGGGTTCCTTTAATAAAACAACTGTGAGACTGATCACAGAACCTCTAATTCCTCTGTAAGCTGCAATCTAAACTCCTTGCCTTCATGACTCATCTAATACCAGTTTTAGCTGATTATTTCAGCTGGGCCGTCATTTTATTTTTAAACTCACACTACACTGCAAGATTAATAAAAGCTTTTACATGTGTGTGGCGGAGCTCCAGTCCTCAAGCTGAGTGTTTCCAGTAGTCTCCCTCCCTTGGTCGCTTTGTTGTGAATAGGACAACATATCTATACTGTACAAAATATGTATTCACCCTACAAGGAGGTGATTCACTATCTCTAATAACATTCTCCCACCATCCAGTCAGGGCACTGGGAGAGTGGATCCCTAAAACCCACTCGCAAAACATTGGAACTCCTACAAACGAGACATCCTTGGTTAGCTCTTCCCCTCAGCTTCCCTTTGTGCAAAAAACACCCTTATTGTACATATGGTATTTAATCGCCAACCTGTCCGCTAAGTTCCGATACAGTGTATAGTTTAATGCGGCTGGCTTTGCACCCCTGAGTCTCTCCCTTTTTCGTTAGCGGGGTGTTTTAGCTACAGGACAGCTATAGACCAATAGACTGTGCTTGCTAGGGGAAGTTGGAGTGCCAGTTGGAGACAAACGGTGCTTTTTACTCGAACAAAGTCATTAAAAGCAACCAAAACAACTTTAGTGTAATGAAGCAGTTTTGGTGTATATATAATGCCCTTGCAGTCTCTCTGCTCAATTCTCTTCCATTTAGGAGTTAAATCACTTTGTTTATGCAGCCATGGTCACACCTCCCTACATGGGACTTACACAGCCTTCCTAAAAACTTCCTGTAAAGAGTCAACTAATGTTTACACTTCCTTTATTGCAATGAATGCATATTTAATTTAGAATTGTATGTTTATTTAGAATTTCTTATCCCCTGCTCTCTTAATAGCTTGCTAGACTCTGCATGAGCCTCTCAAATGTAATTCAAGTTCAGTTTATAGAGCAAGAGATAAAAACTTTTAAAGTAAGTTTACATCTGATTAAAAATTAAAACATTTTTTTTTCTCATGAAGGCTGTGAGTTTCAGCTAGATGTGGTTTGGCTAGGGCGAAATAAACAGAAACAAATTGATTTAACTCCTAACTGGCAGATACTTGAGCAGTGAGCCTACAGGGGCATGATCTATACACAAGGACTGCTTCATTAAGCTAAAGTTGTTTTGGTGACTATAGTGTCCCTTTAAATTTTGCAATCCCATTTCAGCTGGCAGATTAGTAGGTATTCCAATTACTGAATTCTGAACGTTGGCTACTTTAGTCTCAGTTTTGCTATTTGGCGTTTAGTTTGCTAAATTGTTATTATAGCTAAGCTGGGGTTTTATTATTTATTTTCAAAACCGCTACATTTTCTGATTCTGTTTTCAAATTCCAAACCATTTACCGTCTGGGTTTATAGATTCTGGGTTTATTGATTTGAATGCATTTTGGGTTTAGTTCCTGCCACTTTACATGGCTCGCTGCTCTGTATAGCATGCAGATCTTTTTTCATAGTTACTTCCACAATTCTATGCAAATACTGCTTTCTGTTTAAGGCTGTCTTGTTTTTTTTTCACCTTTGTGAAACTTTATATAGTACCACACCTGGGCATGGAACGGAGTTTATATCCTTTTTAAAATTTTTCTGTTTTAGTGTAGTTTTTAGCTTGTTGCTTATAAAGCTTTAATTGTATTTACTCCTACAACAAGGGGCCTGACCCAATTACTTAAAATAATGTAAATTTTTCTCTTAATTTTGTATTTTAACATACCTGCCATAAATTCAGCGTCTGATTACATAATTCAGTAAGTGGTCGATGCATTAGATGAAACAATGAGAGATGATAAATGAGAGACCATACAACAAAATATAGTGTATTATTTACTTTACTGATGATTATAAATAAGAGAAAGGAATTGCACTTAGTTATTTTGGATTGTTGAATCGACTCCAAATATATTTGCTTGGAGCCGATTCGAAGCTTCAAAAACTGTAAGTGTAATTTCTTATTCACAAATTCTGGAATAAAAGGGAATTATAACGGAATATTTCCGTCATGTGATCTTAAAGGGTTAAAAAACAAATTCTTTTAGAATCCCACTTTCTATATTCTTCACCAACTTGCTAGGGTTTTCTCATTGCTTTAAAAATACCGCTGTACGTGATATCATGTGTATAGTAGAAAGATGACCATATGAATTGCATCTCCCAGATTCCCCTGCTGTGCCCACAAGGCACTACTGTGTGCTAGAAAACTAAGTGAATCACTTCCTGGTTTGATGAAAGCTCATTGCAGAAGCTGCATAGCTTGCGGATTTGCAGTAAATGCACAAGGTTTTAAAGTAGTCCTTTTTTCATTTTCTGTTTACTCATTAAAATCTCTCTTTAATGGCATGACAGCTGGAAAGTGTGTTGCTTGTATGTCTGTTTTTGATCTGTATAGCATGTTTACTGTTTGTAGGACCTACATTTAAAGGGCAAAAGACTTTGTAAAATTATAAATAGATTCCAACTTGATTCAGCCATGCAGAGCCTCCTATTCTTATGATCACCAAGGAATCTTGTCTTTTTCTTGCAGCCTGGACCTATGGAGATCCACGCAAGGTGATCTACCCCACTGACAGTCGTGGTCAGTTCTGTGGTCAGGCCGGGACCCCCAATGAGTGAGTAATGGCTCTGTGCACAGTTGGGGTGTATTAGGACGGGTGATATCGTAGTCACTGCTGACTGCTCTTACCTCTCTCTTTGCGCCTATTTGCAGGAAGAAACCTTTCCTATTCTATTTTAACATCATGAAGTGCGCCAGCCCCCTTGTTCTCCTGCAGTTCCAGTGCCCAACAACACAGGTGAGTAATTACCTACGTCCCTCAGAATGTCAGTCCCAGGAGTTCCTCCAACTACTCCCTAAAGGGGTCACTGACAAAATGACAAAATCTCTAGTGGTGTTTGGATACTAAGCAAATGAAACCAAAACCCTTGTCTGCCGTATACTGTTTACCACCTACTTGATTTTCCTTGGCACAGGAGAATTGTGTATAAATGAAATGATGCCAACACGGCCATTTAAATCCCTCCAAGTTACAGAACTGTGCCAGTGTAAAGGTAGAGAGGACCCTATGTGTTGGAGCTTGGCGCACAATCCTAGACTCAAATTCAGATAGAAGCATATTAATTGAGACGTTTTGATTATATCTGCATGCAAGCGTTACAGACTTCTCTGCCTTACTGCCTTATACCTACCATTAGATACATGTAGCTTCCACAATTTAAATGGTAATAAATGAATTGTTACAGATTCACAGTTTATTTTTACAAGCATAAGTATCTTGTATGTAAAGATACCTGGATAGATCCTGTTCTCAAGTGACGCTCTACACAGGGTGACTGGCACTGCATATTGCACGTCATCCAACCAATGGGTCCTTTAGCAAGCTTTGGCGGGATTGAAACATGTCCGCTCCAGCTTGGTAAGGCTGAATAAAGGACCCTGCATTGGATCCAGATTTGTGGACTTTATTTTGACTGTGACTGTTGTGGGTGAAGACCAAACTCTGATTCCCAGCGTGGTGAATGCCTGTCTGCTTAAATTGAGATTATGTGTATACGTGGGTATTGTTTGTCTATACGGAGTATTGTGTATGTCTATACGGGATATAGTGTGTGTGTGTGTGTGTGTGTGTATATGGGGTTTTGTGTATGTGTGTGTATTTGGGTTATTGTGTTTGTCTATACGGGATATAGTGTGTGTGTATTTGTATATGGGGTATTGTGCGTGTGTATATATGGGGTATTGGGTATTTTGTGTGTGTGTGTATACAGGGTATTGTGTGGCTGTTTATCTACAGGATGTGCATGTTACAACCCCCGACGGCTGCCCCATCACTAATTAGTCCCTCTTCCAAAACACATTCCGGTAGAGGAGCTGGAGGGACACAGTGTTATCAAAATATCACCAAAGGGTGATGGACTGAACTAAAGAAAGAAAACAAACCAAAATATCAAAATTGTGTCTGTTTCCCTGGAAAGTAACTCTCACCAAACGTATGCAAGCCGGAAGCCGGTGCCGCCCTATTAGTAAAGTAACCGTAGTCCTGACCCTAAATTAAACAAAAGGGAAAAAAAAAACATGTTGGTCTCTATTACACAAAATGCCATGTGCTCTTGTGGTATAGATCACAATGTATCCAGGACCTATTGATGGCACTATTTTCCCACTATAAACACTTCACTGGTGCGTGTGTGCGTGTGCGCGTGCGTGTGTATGTGCGTGCATGCATTATATAAAATTGCTGATTCCCTCTTCTTTTTGATCATATTTTTCTCTCTCTGTGAATAAGCATTCCCTGTCTTATTACGTTTAATCCATTTACAGTGTGTGAAAGTGCATTCCTTGCCCCACCCATTTATCGTCTCTTCCAAGACCTGACATAATGAAGCCTGTGTAGAGAACTGAAACCTTTAGTTGCTTTATGTACATTGCATTTGAGGCCTGGGGCTACTTACTGTATTTTATTAGTACAGGACAAATCACTCATAATATGGGAGAGACTTGTTTCTACCAGCACTCCAGCTGCTGTTCACCACTATTCTCAGCCTCAGGGGTCACCGGGCAAATGTCAACATTGTAAACCGGCTCCCCTGTTACACATGAAGAAGGATTACATAGAAAGGCTCTAGAACAGTGGTTCCCAAACCAGTCCTCAAACACCTCTACCCGTCCATGATTTTGGAATTACCTAGTTCTGTCTACGGTGTTTTTAGAAAAAGAAAATACCGTAGACACTACTGGGCAATCCCTAAATCCTGGACTAGTTTGGGAACCACTGCTCTAGAATAAATGTGTAAATAAGCTGGATCTTGCCGCACAGAGACAGGAGGGAACTATGGGACATGGAGTCTGTCCCTCCCAGCACAGGGTGACACAGACAGGACAGAGCTATGTGACATGGAGTCTGTCCCTCCCAGCACAGGGTGACACAGACAGGAGGGAGCTATGGGACATGGAGTCTGTCCCTCCCAGCACAGGGTGACACAGACAGGAGGGAGCTATGGGACATGGAGTCTGTCCCTCCCAGCACAGGGTGACACAGACAGGAGGGAGCTATGGGACATGGAGTCTGTCCCTCCCAGCACAGGGTGACACAGACAGGAGGAAACTATGGGACATGGAGTCTGTACCTCCCAGCACAGGGTGACACAGACACACCAAAAGGTTAATAGGACAAATGTGTCTACAATTATATGACATAATATATTATTTTGCTTATGATTTTTTACTCTTCCAGATTTGCGTGGACCAGTGTCCGGACAGATTCCTCACTTACTACTCTGTTATCGCCACTCAACAAAACTTTGATTACTACAAACAGTTCTGCAGACCCGGATTCAATAACTTTTCAAAGGTAGCTAATGAAACCTGAAAACATGTTCTTCATCAGTGTACAGATACTGAGCATCATTATACAGTGCAGCATGTTCCTTATCAGTATCAGATATCTGTATATAAGTCTACAGGTTTATTAATCGGCCCCGAGGCATATCCCTGTTAGCAGAAGGTTATATAAACAGAATACAGAGTATTTCAAGAATGTTTAACTGATCCTATTCTTAAAGGGATACTATGGACACCAAAATAGTTTTGGCTTAATTAATTAGTTTCTATGTATATATATCATGCCCCTCCAGTCTTACTGTTGAATTCTCTGACATTTAGGAGTTAAATCACTTTTGTTTCTGCTTATGCAGCTCTAGTCACACCTCCCCTGGCTTTGGCTCAAACACAGCCTGCATTGAAATAAAGGTTTTACTTTAAGTCAGAGGTTAACTTGCTTTAGAAGTTTGTAATCTGCTCTGTAAATTGAACTTTAATCACACATCGGAGACTCCTGCAGTGTCTAGAATGCATTAACAGAGCAGGAGATAAGAAATTCCAAATTAAACAGAATGTGCAATAAAGGAAGTGTAAACTTTAGATGACTCTTTAAAGAAAGTGTTTAGGGAAGCTGTGCAAGTCACATGCAAGGAGGTGTGACTACGGCTGTGTAAACAAAGTGATTTAACTCCTAAATGGCAGAGAATTGAGCAGAGAGACTGCAGGGGCATGTTCTATACATCAAAACTGCTTCATTAAGGTAAAGTTGTTTTGATGCCTATAGTGTTCCTTTAATTTGTGCATAACTTGTGCTAATTGTGAAGTAAGTGACTTTAATTTTGAAAGCCTACAGAGGAGATGTATAGTCTATCCAACGACTACTGCAAAAGACCAAGGGATGGATCTAATATTCCTGTAAATAGCCTGTGGGTTTATAAAAAGGCCTGACAGGAAGACAGTCTCCCATTTATTGCGATAGGCGAAAAAGTACAGCCAATATGAACGTAGCGTTTGCTTAATGATCACTCCTTTACACCGCAAATTGCATTATAATTACTATAGCACCAACATAAGCCGTAGCGCTTTACAATTCTAAAATGGGGATATTTGAAAAGTAATTCACATATGGACTATAACAGGGACAAGAGGTGAACAAGACGCTGTTATAATCAGTGCAGCGTTGTGATTGGTTCTACATCCATTCATTCTGCCTTGTGTACAGTATGGTAAATAGTGGTGGTGTCAGTGAAACAATGTATTCTCTCCTTCACATTTTTTGTTACTGCAAATGGGTTAATAATAGACTGGTTAATCTATCTGGTTATTCATTATTTTAAAGCTGGTATTTTGGTTTCCCCATCGTTTTGTTGTCATTATGCGCTTTGAAATGTTTTTCTTTATTTGCAGAGTCTGAATGAGGTGTTGAGAGATCGAGATTGTCCTGCCATGATTACACCAAGCAAGCCATGTGAGTGTGGTGGGATGAGGTCTTAATAAAATAATTCCCAGACACCCTATCCCTTTCTAAGCTTATTCAGTCACCATCGTAGATAATCTCAGAAAGTCTCTAAAAGAAAGAATAAAAAAATGTTTTTATTTTTTTCACTCCTCACATGCAGTTTGAAGCATTATGTGTAAATAGTTTGTGTCCCTTTTTTTCCATTTTACAAAAAGTTCACATTTCAATAGAAACTGGCACTTTTATAAATGTGCCTTGCTACACACCCTGGCTGTCAATCAGACAACCCAGTCTGTTACTTCCTGGTTTGTTTAGCTCAGTGAAGCATATGTCTTTGGAAGGCAGGTTCTCTGGGCAATTGTCTGCCTCTTGAGTTCTCACTGAGGGAAGTCAGTGATTGGACAGTCACAGAAAGGCTGGGCGGGGTTAGAATGGGAAGGTTTGCAAAGGCAGCAGACAAGAGATCTGCAGGTTTTGTAAGCTGTTTTTACATATACCCCCAATACAAAATGCATAATTAAATGCATGCATACGTTCATTAGGAGTCTGTGCACTAAATAGTGATTTATGTGGATAGTAGAATGTCCATTTTTAAGCTTGAGAAAGACACTTTAAAAGGACACTCTGGGCATTAATACAAAATCAATTTGTTGAATAGATGTTGGTCTCATTAATTTGCTGTATATTTTTTTGTATGCTCAAATCTTTATAGGTTTTGCACAAAATAAATAAAGATTTTGCAGAATTCTGCTTCATAAGCTTGCCTCCTTAGCCATGCCCCCTGATGCCAGAAATAATTTATTATCAAAGATATGATATGCACACAGAGTGAGCGCCATTTGATTCACAACCTGGCTGCAGACAGTCAGAGAAACTACAAACAGTTAGTGATATCCTCACTATTTGTCTCTCTGGGTGTCCTCTCCTTCTAATTCAAGTTGTTTTGTGGTTCAGACCACTCAGTACTGTGAATGGCTAAACTGTGTACATACATTTGATAAGGAAGTCTTTTTCTGGTATCGGGGGGTGTGACTAAAGAGGCAGGCTTATGGTGCAGAATTCTGCAAAACACTTCTTTATATTATGCAAAAAGTAAAGATTGGAGCATGCATAAAATATAGCATGTTAATGAGGCCAAAACCTATCAAATGTATTAAGTAATATTGGTCCCCGGAGTTTCCCTTGAAAGTGGCTCTGTGTCGTCGTCCCCGTCCTTCCCAAACCTACAGTTCTCTAATTGCTCTTCTCTTCCTTTTTCCGAATCTGCTCTTTTTTTCTACTTTTCATGTGTTTTTTCCAACTCTTGACAAAGACCACAGATAAATAAATGCTCCACTTCTTTTGTTATCTGCCATGTCCACAATACTCACATTTCCATCAAGTCTGTCATCTTTTTGGTCTTGCAAACTCTGTTCATGAAAGCTTGTGGATTTCTGGGCATGGGTGGCCAGCTTTCATTTCCAAAGGTAGTGGAAGGACGGGGGATGGGGTGAAAGGGGAAAGAAGAAAAATACTTTTGGGGGGAGTGGGAACTGCCCATGATAAAGCCATTTTAACGTTTAAACGTAGGTAGTTCACTATTTTTCACTATTTGACAAAACAAGTTTAGCTTATTATACAGACTGAGTTAATTTAGAACACTGTGTAAGCTAGAATTCCTTTCCAGAGGTCTGGTGGACTCCCTCTTCCTGCTCTGCAAGTGCTCCCATCAGGTCGGCCTGCCCCCGTGTGATTTGTATGTTTTCTTTTCACTACATCATACTAAATGCCATGCATTTTATTTCCAGTCACCAGAAGATGTTTCCCGGCAATTAATTTAAAAAAGGGGGTTGTGATGGTTGGAAACTCGACTACATTTGATGATGGGATAGATCAAAAATCGCGAAATATTACTGATCTTGTGGAAGGTGCAAAGTAAGTACCGTAATCCAGGGTCCAGACCTGAAAAGAACTTCAGTATCCAACATAACACAGAGAACGACCATTGTTCCAACCTAACAGGGCCAATATATCGATGCATTCTATCCAAATGCTATTAGAATACTCTTAAACAATAATGATCTAAATAATTGGCATTTTTGCTTTCTATGGTATGGGAAAACATTTGCACCTTTTATTCTCATATTCCAAAGAAGAAAAAAACCTAATTAACAAAGGGGTCGAGAGGAGAAACATGGTAATATCAAATAAGGGAGCTTTTAAAAAAGAGGGACACATTTGGTAGGTGTACATACTGTTTGCTGTGGAGATACATATATACAATCTTGATTTGTTCACGGAGTATGGATTTTCCAGATGGCCAAAACTAAAATACTGTGAACCTATCGTAAATATTGGACACTATAATAAAAAACTAATTAAAGAAAAGATCTACCAGAATGTGTCGTAAATAATTTGTGACAGAGCAGCCAAACACCAAGATAGACCAAGAGACAAATGTCTGAAAGATTGAGAAGGTGCTAGTTTTTGGGTGTTAAATAGGATTTCTGACTTTTGTTGATGTTTTGATTTTGGTAATTGGTATTACACAACATTCTATAAAAAAAATCAAATCTATATATAGTTCTACAAAATCATGTTTTTCTAGATTGTGTTTTTTTTTTGTGATGTATCTTTATTGCTAAGCCTGGTTTTTAAGAGAGTCCTACAGTTTTGGATTTTTTGTTTCTCTGCAGAAAAGCCAATATAGTGTTAGAAGCTCGCCAAGTGGCCATGAAGATATTTGAGGACTACACAGTATCGTGGTACTGGATAATCATGTAAGAGGTTCATCATGGTGGGGGCATTGTGGACAACATTTGTGTCTTCAGCTGTTGTTGGCACTCAGCTTGCTTGTTTGGCGAGGGCAGTAAGAACGTTCTGGTCAATCACAATTGGAGAGACAAATATGATATGTTATGTAGTGGACTCAGCAGAATATAAATCTGATCAAAATCTACTTGGATTTTGCCAAGGCATTTGATACGGTTCCTCACAATAGGTTAGTCTTCAAACTAAAAGAAATTGGTCTAGATGAATATACTTGTTCTTGGGTAGAACATTGGCTTAAGGATAGAGTACAACGGTGTCCTTCAGGGTTCTGTTTTAGGACCACTTCTATTTAACATATTTATAAATGAAAGCCATGTATCAGTGCTTGCAGATGACACAAAACTCTGTAAAGTAATAAAACATGAGCAGTATATTGCTTTGCTGCAGAGGGGTTTGTATAGATTAGGGGACTGGGCACTAAAATGGCAGATGAAATTTAACGTAGAGAAATGCAAAGTTATGCACTTCAGGGGCAAGAATGCACAAGCAACTTACACCCTAAATGGTAGTGAATTAGGGATAACCACACATGAGAAGGATTTAGGAATTGTTCAAGACAACAAATTAGGCAGCAATATGCAATGTCAATCTGCAGTTGCTAAGGCCAGTAAGGTTTTATCATGTATAAATAGGGGCATAAATTCTCGGGATGAAAATATAATTTTGCCTCTTTATAAATCACTGGTAAGACCACACCTTGAATATGCTGTGCAATTTTGGGCACCTGTTCTAAAGAAGGATATCATGGCACTAGAAAAAGTGCAGAGACGAGCTACAAAATTGATAAAAGGAATGGAGTATTTTAGTTACGAAGAAAGGTTAAAACATATAAATCTCTTTAGTTTGGAAAAACGGCGCTTCAGAGGGGATATGATATTATACAAATTTCTTCGGGCCACTACAAACCATTATCTCCTAATCTATTCATAAACAGGGCTATACATAGGACACAAAGTCACGCATTTAGGAAAAAAAGAGATTTCATCTAAGGCAAAAGCTTTTTTTTACTGTAAGAACAATAAGGATGTGGAATTCTCTGCCTGAAGACGTGGTTTTATCAGAGTCCATACAGATTTTTAAACAGCACTTGGATAAATACAAAAACATAACATACAGGGATATACAGGGATATCATTTCTAATTAGTGGGGTAATAGCTGCTTGATCCAAGGAGATATCTGACTGCTATTTTGGGGTCAAGAAAGATTTTTTTCCCTAGTTTGTTGCAAAACTGGAAGCGCTTCAAACTCGTTTTTTTGCCTTCTTTTGTATTAACAGCAAAACCATATGTGAGGAAGGCTGAACTTGATGGACGCAAGTCTCTTTTCAGCTATGTAACAATGCAAATAACATGCTTATTCTGTTCCACAGAGGTCTTGTAATTGCCATGGTGATTAGTTTGATATTTGTGGTCTTACTGAGGTTCCTGGCTGGTATTATGATCTGGGTGATGATTATAATGCTGATTGCTGTGATGGGCTATGGTACGTATATCTTGATTTACCTCTAGTTTCACCAGATCCCACTTTTGACACCATTCTGTTATAGAATTTTATTATATTCTCTGCTTTCCCGTACACAGGAATCTTTCACTGCTACATGGAATATGCGCGACTGAAGGGAGAGTCAGGGTCAGATGTCACGATCACCGATATCGGTTTACAGATGGATCTTCGTGTGTACTTGCACTTACGCCAGACATGGTTGGCATTCAGTAAGTTGGTGTGCATTTCTTTATTGTAATTGTGTGGGAGGAAGCTGGAACCATTATCTACCTGGTAGGAAAAGAAGGTTCGTACTGTAGATGCTGGTGCCAAATCTGTGCTGTGTATAGATAATATGATGTAGAGTGCGTGCGAGTGGAAGACTGATACTAACGCCGTATCTGTAATTTGTATTTAGGTTGTGGTAAAGTGTTTACGTAACATGATATCAACACTGAAGCAGCTACTGTTCTTTGTATATATGGTTGTGGTTTGTTCATGTGAGCAGAAAACTGACATCACATCTAGATATGTTTTCCATGTTTTTAATGAGGAAAGGCGGAATATTTGAACGTCTATTGCTGCTCCTTCTGTAACTCCTCTTTCTGTAATAAAATAAACACTGAAATAATGGAGGTTTAAAATTGATATTGTGGGCCAGAAAGATGGTAAACTGATTAATCCTGCAAGGCTTTTTAACAATCTCATTTTTAAAGTTTAACACCAGGCCAGTGACTTGTTCAAGGGACAGTATCTATTGTAACTGAGCATTTAGAAGTGTAGAATGCATTCCTGTATGTGGCTGTGCTGGATGGAACAGTTCACAGACCATAGCCAGCTGGGCTCTAAGTGAGAGATAATGGCAATGTTCGTATAGTTATTTATTGCCCTTATGCCATGCTATCTCTGGGTGTGTGGTAAAGGGATGGACTAGCCTGCTCTGTCCTGTTAGACGCTCGCAAGCACTGCTTAATCACACGGTGTCAAGTCATCTTGCTCTTTGGATATAGCTGTACGTCCAGTTATTTCACCAAGGCTCACACAATCTCCTTTTGCCTACAGTGATCATCCTCTGTATTATGGAAGTCATCGTAATTCTCCTGCTCATATTCCTGAGGAAGAGGATCATGATCGCCATTGCTCTTATAAAGGAGGCCAGCAGGTGAGGGAAGCCATGTTTTATTGATTGCTACTGGAATGCTGAGATTATGATGCTCCTTCTAAGAAACCAGCATTACCATGGCAACAATGAACACACATGGTGGAAAGTCCAGGAAATTAATCGATCTGATTTTTCCTTGGAGGTCTCAGACCTTACCTCTTTCTCTCTCTCTCCCTCCCTCTCTCCCTCCCTCTCTCCCTCTCTCTCTCCCTCTCTCTCTCCCTCTCCCTCTCCCTCTTGATTTGTGCCTGTCTCTATGACCTCATCTTATTCTTGCTCTGTGCCTGTCTCTATGACCTCATCTTACTCTCGCTCTGTGCCTGTCTCTATGACCTCATCTTACTCTCGCTCTGTGCCTGTCTCTATGACCTCATCTTACTCACTCTCTGTGCCTGTCTCTATGACCTCATCTTACTCTCGCTCTGTGCCTGTCTCTATGACCTCATCTTACTCTCGCTCTGTGCCTGTCTCTATGACCTAATCTTACTCTCGCTCTGTGACTGTCTGTCTACTCTGTCTTTCTCGCTCTGTTTGGCCTTATATGACTCTCACTCTTTGACGGTCTATCTTCCCTAGACATTCAGGGTTATACACTATAGGGAGATTTGTCAGTAATTCATAGTGAATTTCAAATGCATTTAAAGCCAAACTATCTGAACTAGATGCCTAGCTGACCTGGAGAATTTATCCATTTTGACCTTAAGTATCAAACTCACTTTACATTCTCAACCATCCTCACTACAGTAACATTATCTAATGACCATTCTTGCATAGAACACTTATTAGAAAAGCATGATATAGTTAAAAATTCACGTGCAATCACAGAATATGTACATTTTTAAATAGGACAGAGGATTTCTATTTTTTCTTTATTTTTAAATAAATTGTAATTCAGTGTATTTGTTAGTTCTTCTGGGATGATTCATATTTTTATTAGAAATACATGTTTTTGTTGTGTTTATTTTTGCTCCCTAGCTTCCTCTCTCGAGTTGTCTTTCACATCCTCTTATCTGCCTCTGTTTTTCTTCGTGTCTTGCATGTGGTCTCTGCAGGTTTTGCATTTCTCACGGCCTCTCTGTCCTTCACTCTCTTTTGCATTTGTTTTACTCTACTCGTGCTCCTCTGTCTTGCCCTCATTCTCACGCTCGCTGTCACTTTCTCTCTTTCCATTTCCTGCCTCTTCATTACTGCGACTATCTCTCTGTTTGTAACCTGTATCCTCTTCTTTCCTCAGGGCCGTTGGGCATGTGATGTCCTCACTGGTGTTCCCTCTATTTACGTTCTTACTTGTATGTCTGTGCATCGCGTATTGGGCCATCACAGCTGTGTATCCTTTTAGTACTCACCACTGTACCCTCTGACTGCAGCCCTCAACAGTACTTCCTTTATCACAAACAACTTTTCCACCTCGTACTACCTGACTGCATCCCACAATACACCTATCCTTCCGTCACCCACAGCGGCTCCCCTGACTGCATAATGATCTTGATAAAGCAGTCTGTCTCCTACTATGGATTTACCCTTCCTAATACGTAAAGGGACACTCCACACACCTAAAGAGACACTCTTCTTCTATATGTGTGAAGTGTGCCCTTTTATAATTATTACAAAAAAGTGCAAAATAAAAATACACCTTTTAAATGCATGCATGTTATAGGAGAATAGTGGGTGAGTACCAGAGCAAGGCATCAGACAGCAATTGCACTAAAACACCACCTTATACACTCTTCTTCTTAACCTATTTAGTGAAGAATCCTTAACCATTCCTCAGCTTTCTTTCTACCTCCAATGACGCAGTTTATAAAGTGTTTAACGAAACACAATGTGATTATTCTGGCAATATCTGCAACCCAGAGGTAAGTCCCTAAGACTTCATATATAATGCTTTTTAAATGTTACAGGGGGTATTTAAGTACTTTGCCGTATCTGAGTATGTATCAGTTAATGACTCCCACACCTCTACAGGGAGGAAAGCATGTGGGAATAGTGGACAGGGATAGCAATAAAAGGGTCAGTCACTCTGTGACAATAAACAATAACTAACTTTGCTACAGAACCAACATCTCTACATACACCATCTCCACCAGAACCAGACACTGCCTCCCCTCGTCCAGAACCAGGCACCACGGCCTGCCCTCGTCCAGAACCAGGCACCACGGCCTGCCCTCGTCCAGAACCAGGCACCACGGCCTGCCCTCGTCCAGAACCAGGCACCACGGCTTGCCCCCGTCCAGAACCAGGCACCACGGCCTGCCCCCTGTCCTGAACCAGGCACCACGGCCTGCCCCCTGTCCTGAACCAGGCACCACGGCCTGCCCCCTGTCCTGAACCAGGCACCACGGCCTGCCCCCTGTCCTGAACCAGGCACCACGGCCTGCCCCCTGTCCTGAACCAGGCACCACGGCCTGCCCCCTGTCCTGAACCAGGCACCACGGCCTGCCCCCTGTCCTGAACCAGGCACCACGGCCTGCCCCCTGTCCTGAACCAGGCACCACGGCCTGCCCCGTCCGAACCAGGCACCACGGCCTGCCCTCGTCCAGAACCAGGCACCACGGCCTGCCCCGTCCAGAACCAGGCACCACGGCCTGCCCCCTGTCCTGAACCAGGCACCACGGCCTGCCCCCTGTCCTGAACCAGGCACCACGGCCTGCCCCCTGTCCTGAACCAGGCACCACGGCCTGCCCCCTGTCCTGAACCAGGCACCACGGCCTGCCCCCTGTCCTGAACCAGGCACCACGGCCTGCCCCCTGTCCTGAACCAGGCACCACGGCCTGCCCCCTGTCCTGAACCAGGCACCACGGCCTGCCCCCTGTCCTGAACCAGGCACCACGGCCTGCCCCCTGTCCTGAACCAGGCACCACGGCCTGCCCTCGTCCAGAACCAGGCACCACGGCCTGCCCTCGTCCAGAACCAGGCACCACGGCCTGCCCTCGTCCAGAACCAGGCACCACGGCCTGCCCCCCGTTCTGAACCAGGCACCACAGCCTGCCCCCCGTCCTGAACCAGGCACCACTGCCACCACACCAGTGTTAAGCCGCAGAAACCCAGCAATACACTGCCTACATAAGAGCTATTGGGGCAAAGCTGTACAGTTCCTAGGTTTGTGCATGCTAAAGGGTAAACAACCCTTTGTGGCTCACAAATCTGAATGTGAATTCAGTGTTGAGATTCTGAAACAGAATTTAGGGTAAAATTGGTTATATCATCGTTTCTATACTTTGTGCAAGTGGTTCACTATATTTTAAGACTGTGTTTTTTTTGTTTTTTTTGCTCAGTACATGGAAAGCTGCTTTGTCAACAGAACAAAAATAGCTACATTCCTTTGTAGAGTACAACACTTGTCTATTGTATTTATTTAAACTGTATTCTAAATTTTTGTTGCTGAGTCAAAATTGCAGGAATGTAAAAACATGTGGACACAAAGTCCTCTGTGAACTTTACAAAAAAAACTTCCAATCTTTATTATAATCCAAAACAGTTGGCCATCAAGGAGATTCAATTTGTTACCCTAATGGCTAGAGCTGCACTGTCACGCCAAACCGGCCTATCTCCTATCGCTTCCTCTTCTCTTCCTCTCTCAGAATCTGTTCTTCTTTTCTTCATTTCTGATCTAGTTTTCTTTAAAATGTAAGATAAAGTAGGGACTACTTTGTCTTATGTCTTTTTCTTACGCCTGACATTCTCTGACCAAAAAAGAAGTTTAAGTCGGCTCCATTTCCTGTGTCTAGGAGGAGGGTGAGTATTCTGGGAATACTTTCTTTGACATGGGAGATGTAGCTGAATTAAGCTCCTCCTTTGGTCAGAGAATGTCAGGCGTAGGAAAAATACATAAGACAAAGTAGTACCTACTTATTTACGTTTTAAAGAAAACTAGATCAGAAATTGAGAAAATAAGAACAGATTCTGAGAGGGTAAGAGAAGAGGAAGCAATAGGAGAAAGATAAGTTTGGTGTGACGGTGCCAATTCAAGTTGTGGAGCTGAAATGGATTTTTGACTCCTGTATATTGTGTACGTGGTTCCCCCACCTCCCCAGTATTTCCAATTTGGAATTAGATTGTCATGCTTTTATGTCTAAGTCTATTCTTTAATAATTTTTAAATATTTTTCCTCAGACGTTTAACTCCACCAATGTCACTCGCCTGTGTCCAGATGCCAGGTGCCAGTTTGCCTTCTACGGAGGAGAAACCTATTACCACAAATACCTTATCGTCTTTCAAATCTACAATGCTTTCATGTTCCTTTGGTTGGCTAACTTTGTCATAGCACTGGGGCAAGTAACACTTGCTGGGGCGTTTGCCTCCTATTACTGGGCGTTTAAGAAGCCGGATGACATGCCAGCTTTCCCCATCTTCTCTTCTCTGGGCCGGGCACTGAGGTAAGATGGTCCTGACCATAATGTAGATCATCCTATTGGGTGGGTACACCGTAAACGAACTCACCGCTTTTCCTGTGATGCTTTGTTGCTGCAGGTACCATACAGGATCTTTGGCCTTTGGATCTCTTATTCTCGCCATAGTGCAGTTAATACGAATTATGCTGGAATATCTGGATCACAAACTCAAAGGTAAGACCGCTTTTAATGGGGCAGGTTATCCCATCACTTTACAACCGTCATTGCTGTCCAAGGTTGGAAAGGTTTGGTGATGGTGGACAAGTCATTGTTTGAGTGACAACCAAGGGCCTGGGCTTTGGTTGCTGGAAGAGCAATGTTGTTTTGTCAAAATCATGGTGGAACACCCAAAGACTCTCCCTGCACCATCACCACTACACCATATATAATTTATGGTAGTAATGAGTAATAGAATAATGTAGAAACCACATAGTTTTCTCTCTGCCATTTCCACTCCTCTCTACCCTTGAACAGCATGCTGCTTGCTCTCTGCAGGATCTAAATAAAAACCTAGCAGAGCACAAGTTATTGCCAGATATTCAATAATTTAATACTCTTATCACCCTTCTTTCCCTCTAGGGGCAGAGAATAAATGTGCACGCTTCCTCCTTTGCTGCTTGAAATGCTGCTTCTGGTGTCTAGAGAAGTTTATCAAGTTTCTAAATCGTAATGCATATATCATGGTAAGCACCATAAAGACATTATTATCAGATAATGTATGGAACAGGACATGGGGAGTATCAGATAATGTATGGGACAGGAGGTGGGGAGTATAAGATAATGTATGGGACAGGAGGTGGGGAGTATAAGATAATGTATGGGACAGGAGGTGGGGAGTATAAGATAATGTATGGGACAGGACATGGGGAGTATCCGATAATGTGGGGAGTATCAGATAATGTATGGGACAGGAGGTGAGGAGTATCAGATAATGTATGGGACAGGAGGTGGGGAGTATAAGATAATGTATGGGACAGGAGGTGGGGAGTATAAGATAATGTATGGGACAGGACATGGGGAGTATCAGATAATGTATAGGACAGGACGTGGGGAGTATCCGATAATGTGGGGAGTATCAGATAATGTATGGGACAGGAGGTGGGGAGTATAAGATAATGTATGGAACAGGAGGTGGGGAGTATAAGATAATGTATGGGACAGGACGTGGGGAGTATCAGATAATGTGGGGAGTATCAGATAATGTATAGGACAGGAGGTGGGGAGTATCAGATAATGTATGGGACAGGAGGTGGGGAGTATAAGATAATGTATGGGACAGGACGTGGGGTGTATCAGATAATGTATGGGACAGGACGTGGGGTGTATCAGATAATGTGGGGAGTATCAGATAATGTATGGGACAGCAGGTGGGGAGTATCAGATAATGTATGGGACAGGACATGGGGAGTATCAGATAATGTATGGGACAGGACGTGGGGTGTATTAGATAATGTATGGGACAGGACGTGGGGTGTATCAGATAATGTATGGGACAGGATGTGGGGTGTATCAGATAATGTATGGGACAGGACGTGGGGAGTATCAGATAATGTATGGGACAGGACGTGGGGTGTATCAGATAATGTATGGGACAGGACGTGGGGTGTATCAGATAATGTATGGGACAGGAGTGGGGTGTATCAGATAATGTATGGGACAGGGCGTGGGGAGTATCAGATAATGTATGGGACAGGAGGTGGGGAGTATCAGATAATGTATGGGACAGGACGTGGGGAGTATCAGATAATGTATGGGACAGGACGTGGGGAGTATCAGATAATGTATGGGACAGGACGTGGGGAGTATCAGATAATGTATGGGACAGGACGTGGGGAGTATCAGATAATGTATGGGACAGGACGTGGGGAGTATCAGATAATGTAGGTGACAGGACGTGGGGTGTATCAGATAATGTATGGGACAGGAGGTGGGGAGTATCAGATAATGTATGGGACAGGACGTGGGGTGTATCAGATAATGTATGGGACAGGACGTGGGGTGTATCAGATAATGTATGGGACAGGACGTGGGGTGTATCAGATAATGTATGGGACAGGACGTGGGGTGTATCAGATAATGTATGGGACAGGATGTGGGGTGTATCAGATAATGTATGGGACAGGGCGTGGGGAGTATCAGATAATGTATGGGACAGGAGGTGGGGAGTATCAGATAATGTATGGGACAGGACGTGGGGAGTATCAGATAATGTATGGGACAGGACGTGGGGAGTATCAGATAATGTATGGGACAGGACGTGGGGAGTATCAGATAATGTATGGGACAGGACGTGGGGAGTATCAGATAATGTATGGGACAGGACGTGGGGAGTATCAGATAATGTATGGGACAGGACGTGGGGTGTATCAGATAATGTATGGGACAGGACGTGGGGTGTATAAGATAATGTATGTGATCTATTTAATGTAAGCGGCATTATGTAGTGTAGAGTAAAGATGTGGCGGTGGACCCTAAAATCCAACCAATAGACCGCAGGATCTGTGACAAATGCTGTATCTTTTACAGATAGCAATATATGGCACCAACTTCTGCACATCAGCTCGAAATGCCTTCTTCCTGCTCATGAGGAACATTATTCGGTGAGTAAGCTCAGAGATGGCATACTGCTTGGGCATCAAGGGTGCACAGTTTGCTTGGGAACCCAAACCTGCCTCAGATGTTCTGAACTGTGTAAATCCTCCTGCGGTAACCCTGTCTCTCTCTCCGTCCACAGCGTGGCCGTCCTGGATAAAGTCACAGATTTCTTGCTTTTCCTCGGGAAACTTCTGATAGTAGGTTGCGTGGGTAAGTATGAAAGTCTCCTGTTGTGTGAGTCTCACTGGGTTTATTGCGCCATATTAAAGGTACTCTGTACACTCAGCACAATGCCATTAAGATTGTTTTGGGGGCTGCAGTCACATTCATACGTTTAATTATGTATTTTTTTTATTGGGGGGTATATCTTAAAACTACTTGCAAAAGCTGCAGATCTCTTGTCTGCAGCCTTTGCAGAGATGGTGCTCTGTTCATTTGCTGCCTCTTGAGTTGAGCTTCACTGAGCTAAACAATCCAGGAAGTAACATTACCTGTTGTCTGATTGAAAGCCAGGGGGTGTAACCAGGTTAATTTATAAAAGTGTCAATTTCTATTGAAATCTGCACTTTTTGCAAAATGAAAAAATAGGACACACTATTCTTAAATAAAGCTTTTCAGCCAGCTAAAGTGGTTTAGGGTTCTGGAGTGTCCTTTTAATGTGTTAACCCTCTTTCAAATGGATTAACCGCAAAGTTGAGGCCCGGCTCCTAATCTCAGCTGCTGTACTCATGAATTGATGCTTTGGGTGCAGGTGATGGGATGAAGTTGTTGTTTTGAGGGTAGATAATTTTAAAAAAAAATGTGTTTTTAAAAAAAAAAAATTATTCTTTTTTTTATTAAACATTCCATCATTACAAAACCGCATGTAGCAAGTTATATATAAGCAGTACAATAAAAATATAGTCTCTTTAGTGTAATGCCATGCATCTAATATCCAATTCTACTTTTAACCCATTGAACAGGTCACTGTGCTCCCCAGTGGGATTGACTATTTTACCCATTAAACATTAGAGCTGTTGTGCTAGCTGTTGCAATTAATCTCTCTCATATGGTTTAGATTAACTTGGTGTCAATGTTTTGCAGGTATTCTCGCATTCTTCTTCTTTACCCATCGGATCCGTATTGTGCAGGACACGGCGCCAACTCTCAATTATTACTGGGTTCCAATCCTGGTGAGTTGGATCACAATGACCTTTTCCCAGAATCCTCTGTTTATAATATGGATTCCAGCATGCAGCAGTAATGCTTGTGTATTTCTGAGCACTCGTCATGACACTTGAAGCCGGTGAAAATTTTTGGAATTTTAGCTTGATCTTTGGTGTGACCATTTAACCCCTTAAGGACACATGACATGCCTGACATGTCATTATTTCCTTTTATTCCAGAAGTTTGGTCCTTAAGGGGTTAAAGGGATTCAAGGCCTTCATGTAGCCTTGTGCTACTGACCATTTCCCAGGGATAATAATCTGCTAATTTGAAATTCATTTTTGTCTCTGCTGGTTGTTTTGTGGAATTTGTTTTTCCCGCTCAAATTATTTAAATGGAGTAAAAATATTGATACACGATAACACAACATTCATAGGGAATTAGGAGAAAAATTAACGTGTATATATTTGTACATACAAATAAAATTGACAGAAACCTTGCATGACTGCTTTGAAATAGATAACATGTCAGACTTTGTCAAGAAAAAGAGTTTACATAAAGTTATCTCTATACCATCTATCTATAGAAGTATATCAATAGATATGTATTTTTAAAGGAACGCTATCGCATTAGGAATATAAACATGGATTCCTAACACTATAGTGTCCTGAGACCTAGCTAGGTGTATGTCCCTGTGTTGGTGCTAAATAAATGCTAAAAAAAACATTCTCAATATATTAAACCTGCAATGTAAACATTGCCGTTCCTAAAGATTGACAAGATTTTACAATGCAGGCTTGGACAGACGGGGACACTGCACTCTCTAGCCTTTAAAACATCTTCTCTGAGGGTAAAAAAAAATCCTTTAATCCGAGACCCAAAAGATGCCAGGATAGGAGGTTTAACGATGGAAACAGGTTGCCTTAGCATGTAAATCATATTCTTTAATAAAATGCAGTGGATTTTGTAAGGGTAGGGAATGATTAAAACTGAAAATTACGTTTTTTGGGGGTTTTTTTGTAGTCACTATTAACACATGTACAGCTAGTGTTTATAGAACATTGAATTGTAAACTGATTTTTGTTTGTTGAAAAAGGAAAAACAACTTAGGACTACTTTACATTCAGTTCCCATTTCTTTAGTATTCCCTGGAAACTGCAATATATCCAGTCTGTCTTCAAACTTGCATATCCAACACTCCTAACACTTGATATAATCGGTCTGTTGTGAGCCAGTTGCAATTATCACCTGTTAAGGAATGTTTTATTACACGCCTTCCAGAATGAAAAAGTTGACATCTATAGTGGATAAAAACTGACTAATGAAAACTGATTAAACTTGTTCCTTCCTTCTCCTCAGACGGTGGTTATTGGATCCTACCTAATCGCTCACGGCTTTTTCAGCGTGTATGCGATGTGTGTAGACACACTCTTCCTGTGTTTCTGTAAGTATTTGTTACATCCAGGTAATAAATAATATACATCGATGTGATTTAGGGTGGATGGGTAGATAAACTGGTTGCAGAGCTTGCAGTCTAACTGAATCCTAACCTTTCTGTTTCAATCTGATTTAATATGGTGATAGTCTCTACTATACTAATCTTATTTTCTTGTTTTCCATTTCTCTTTTAAATCCCTAAACCTCTCGCTCATCACTTTGCCTCTATCTATTTTTCTGCTTCTCTTTCCTTCTGACTTGCGTGCTTCCCTCACCTTTTCTATCTTACGTTGATCGTCCTTGGGGGGCTGATCATAATCAAGGTGAAGATCTGGAGAGGAATGATGGCTCCTTGGAGAGACCTTATTACATGTCTCCAGAACTCCGAGAGATCCTGCTCAAAAACAACCCTGAAACGTTAAAATCCAGCGAGACTGAGAGCTGAAGGAAGGCTGGTGGTCAAACTATAAAACTCTTACAGGCAAAGGAAAGAACTTCAGAAGAATATCTGCTCTACTCTCCCAAATCGACTGTCCCCTTCTCTATACCTCAATCTCAGATGATCAGCATGTGTTGGGAATGGTGGCATCTAGACATGGTCTCCTGGTCACAAATGTGCGGTGCATTATATGGCATTAAATTCTAAACACTATGGAGATAGTCCTGCATTATACTGTCTATCATAGGCCTTCACAGCCTCTGTATATAAGAATCTATTCTTTAATACTCCTTCATAAAACATTGCCAACAACTAGTGCCTTCTTATAACTACTGCATGACCCAGTTTTTAAATTAAACATCTCTCTTTTTGTATTTTTTACTCCCCCCTTTTTTACATCTTACTCCACTCTAATTCTTTCTCTCTACCCGCTTCCATTGCCTTTTCCTCCTTCTACACTACTTGTCCTACCCCATGCAGTGGAAGACTTAGAAAGGAACGATGGGTCGACCGAGAAACCGTACTTCATGGCCCCAAATCTCCAGAAACTCTTAAACAAAAAGAACAAAAGTGCAGACGAAAAATAGTTCTTGCATTATGTTATATTAATGTCCTGTTGCCTTCAGCACCAACCAGAAGAGGAGAATGAGGCCTGACCGTAATGGATATATTGCTTTGTGTGTGTACATTTCTAAGAGCTGTATGTATATACACATGTATATGCACTTTTATTTATGGAAGCGGGTTTTAGACTTGCATTTGTATGTACACTTTATTACCCATATGTATTTGTGTCGGTATGAACATGGAATTCCTTTTGTACACATGCTGCTCTGTGCTTACAGATCAACGTGATAATTTACATATATATGTTAAGCATACATACCTTTTTTAAATCATCAGTAACACGTGTACATTGTTCACAAACGCAATGCAAACTCTTTTCTCATCTATAAACCCAGTCAGCTTTTATAAAATCCGTTAACCAAATGTTATGCCTTTTGTGGATCCTGGAAAGAACACAATAACTAATCGGTGCACAGGTATTTATAACAGAGCTTGTGTGATGTTAACTGGACTAGGTTTAATTCTGTGTTTTAAGAGTCATTACCATTGAAGATTTTCTGTTTTGTTTTTTGTTTTATATTTGCATGACGATTTGTGCGTTTTTGTATATGTATATATAAACATAACACAGGCTGAAATGTTTACGAAAAATACCAAATATTACTAGGCGAATAAGTATTTGTATAAAATTGTCCCTCGATCAATGTATTGAATGAAGCAAAAAATAATAAACGCAGATTTTTTTTTTGTATATTTTCTTCTCCGTGTATCTAATATTCCACATAAGAAGAATACATAGTATACATTTTTCTTAAATTTGTTTGAACTTGAACTCTCTAGGCAGTTAATCTGTTCAACTTTCCACAGTTTTTTTCTCTGCCAAATTTAATAGCCCAGCTGCCGTACAGGTGTTACCTTTTGCTAGGCCGCTCTGAGACTTTAGGAAACTAAAGTAGAATAAAAGGTAATTCCTAAACTTCCTGGGTTTTTAATCCGTAGTGGAGTGCATCTTTTACTGGGTCTTCCAAGTTCGGAATATACTATAAGATTCAGCCCCAGCCACGTGTATGAGCCTTTGGCTTTTCTTTATATGAAAGTAAATATTATGCAGCGTTGGGTTGCTGGCTTGAAGACCGTAATAACGTGCAATCCCAGGACTGTTATTTGCTGGTGCGAAACCATAATATATTGGAGTCCTGTTGTATCCCAAAACTGTGGTCATGAGATTTTCCAGATGTGCTATCCAATGTTATATTGCTGGCTTATTGTGTGTACGAAAATGTGCTAGATGTGCAGTCTTTTTATATCGCTGCTGTCTGGGCTATAATAAGATGTGCCAAGTGTTCAGTCCAAGCCTTTATATTTCTGGTCTCTGGACTCGTGAGGTGTCCAATTTAGGTCTGATATTTCTGGGCTCAGGACCATAAAATAAGTAATCCAATCTGGTTTTATATCACTGGATTGAAAATCAGAAGAAAATTCCATGTGAATTTTTGATTACACCAGTATCAAGCCACATCAGGCTACAGAAATGTCTCATGTTTATACTCTGCAAGGGTTGGTTGGGGAGGGGGGGTCCAAAGAAGGTCCAGGAACCTCAATAGTTAGTTTGACACAGTAGTGTTCCACACATAACACGTGCGGTTATCAAGGAACGCATGCATTAACGGTAACATTTTTAGAAAGCGTACAGTAACTGTGCAAACCACCGTGCAGGACTGCGAAGCAAAGTGGAAACTGGGACTCTTGAGTCCTTCATCAATAAGCATTATGCTCACATAAACAGAGTATATAGTCATCATGATATGATATCTCTGACCCACAAGCCCATTCATCTATCTCAAGGCAAGCCGCAGTAACAATGCAAACAGGTACGCAGGACTGAGACAAAGTCGTACAGAATAAGGAAAGCGTACATGTGGGACCCATCTTTTTTTATAAACACACTAATACAATTGAAGAATGAGTAAAAGAAGTATTAGAATTAAGATCAAATGCTAAAACCTTGTTAAAAATTGAAACCCACTCATCCACCTAGTATTAAAACAACACTCGAAGTACCATACCTACTACAGAGTGCTCCTCTGTGTATGTTGCTAGGACAGCTCTGGCACCCCTGCCCCCAAATTTAAGTAGGGAAATGGTTTCCTAACCATTGTTAACTGCAGAGACTGGCTAATTTGCAGGAGACTATTGAATGTGGTGGATGAGGGGCCCAGGCATGCTGTCAAACTGTTTTTAAAACTGTGATGGTGCCTGGACACTCTTGGCACCATAACCACTACAGTGGGCTCAGGTGTGACATCGTCGGTGCATATTGAATACCAGTGGTGAGCTCTGTCAGGAGCCCTGTTTTTACCATAGCTGGTAACATGATTTATAGTTACAGTCTTTGATGGGAAAATGTCTTCCACTGCTTGGCTATGACCCTGAGAACATCTGGGGATAAAAAATGTCTAAAGTCACCGGCACAAGATGATTATCTGCCTAGGATCTTAGTACCTGAGTGCATTGGTTAATGACGTGATATGAACTGCAGAGGGTTTACTCCATCATAGAATCTCACACAGTACGGAGGCCCCGGACCACTGTTGGGTTATTCTGATTGTTTTGCCACAATACGCTGAAATTATTTGGAAGTCCTTTAACCCCTTAAGGACACATGGCATGTGTGACATGTCATAATTCCCTTTTATTCCAGAAGTTTGGTCCTTAAGGGGTTAAAATAGCCTAGCTGAGAAGAACCAGAGAAGGTAAATTAATCCAGTGGTTCTTTGGTTGGAACAGACAAATACTCTTCATCAGGCCTTGGACAAACCACAATAAGTATTATTTCAGCAGTTCTGCCACTGGAGTTCTCATTAGCACTCGAATCCAATGAAGGCATTGTGCAGAATTTATTCTGCTATATGACAAGGTCATATGAGGTCAGTGAGTTAGTTTAACAATTCAAAAACAGGTCACCTTGCTAATGGCATGAACAAAAGGTCAAAAATATTTTTTAAGAACCGCTGCCACAGTAAATGCAAATTGGTGGTGGTGTTATGGATTATCCATGAGGTGAGAAATGCAAATTGTTTCATAAACAAGGTTGTGAAACGGTTTCCTCAACATCAACACTTTACAGAGTATCTTGCAGAACTATGTAATCCTTATTCAGATCCTAGAGTGACCCATCAGAATCTGCTCCAACCAGCATAGAAATTGGGCACGTGCATGGGGAAAATTTTCGGTTTGGTTCGGCATTTCGAAATTTGGGACTTCGGGACTTCGACCATTCGGCAATTCATCTATTCGGACATTCGGAAGTACCCAAATGTCCGAGTTTCCCGAAATTCGGCCGAATTCACATTCGGACCGAAACGAATTGCACGTCTAATAGAAATCAAAATTTGTATTTGTTTAGATTTAGAACTTTGGGAGTGGAAGTCACAGAGACCAATCAATGGGTATTAGCCTCAATCCTTAGTTACAGAAAAGAAAAAAAGTACTTTTTTCTTTTAGATGTTTTGATACATTGAGTTTCAGGCCTGGATACATTCACTGTAAAATTTAGATTGATTTCAAAAGTAAAAACAGTCTAAAAATGAATCAGATCACAGACCTGGTCGCAAGGAATATAAACTGGCTGCTTAAATGTTATTAAATTAAATGTAACCTCTTTTTAAAGGGACTAAGTCTTACCAAATATGTAAATTGTGATTTTAAAGGAACAAAGGGTTTTAGACAAAATTTTACATGCAAATAGATAATTTTATTGCATACCTTGGCTTTCTGTGGGGGCAGCTATCTTGAAATCCTCTTTAGTTGGGAGCATAGTTTATGCGACCAAGGACAGTACAGGTAAACGTGAGCTAGTGTATGTTTAAAATTAAAAGGACACTATTGGGAATTATCCCCATATATATAGGATGAATATTAAAACACTAACAGACACTATGGTCACCAAAACAACTTAAAGGACCACTCTAGGCACCCAGACCACTTCAGCTTAATGAAGTGGTCTGGGTGCCAGGTCCAGCTAGGGTTAACCCATTTTTTATTCAAAGAAACTGCTATGTTTATTAATGGGTTAAGCCTTCCCCCAAAGCCTCTAGTGGCTGTCTCATTGACTGTGATTTTCAAAGTGAGAGCACGCCAGCGTCCATAGGAAAGCATTGTAAATGCTTTCCTATGCGACCGTCTGAATGCGCGCACAGCTCTTGCCGCGCATTCAGCCGACGGGGCGGAACGGAGGAGGAGAGAAGGAGGAGAGCTCTCCGCCCAGCGCTGGAAATAGGTAAGTTTAAACCCCTTTCCCCTTTCCAGAGCCGGGCGGGAGGGGGACCCTGAGGGTGGGGGCACCCTCAGGGCACTATAGTGCCAGGAAAACGAGTATGTTTTCCTGGCACTATAGTGGTCCTTTAAGCTTAATGAAGCAGTTTTGGTGTGTAGATCATGTCCCTGCAGCCTCACTGCTCAATTCTCTGCCATTTAGGAGATTTAATGGCTTTGTTTATGAACCCTAGACTTGCACAGCCTTCCTAAACACTTCCTGTAAAGCGTCATCTAAAGTTTATCCTTCCTTTATTGCAAGTTCTGTTTAATTTAGATTTTCTTATCCCCTGCTATGTTAATAGCTTGCTAGACCCTGCAAGAGCCTCCTGTATGTGATTAAAGTTCAATTTACAGAGAGATACAATTGTTTAAGGGAAATCACATCTGATTGAAAGTGAAGCCAGTTTTTTTTAGTTTTCATGCAGGCTGTGTCAACCAGATTCAGGGGAGGTGTGACAAGGGCTGCATAAACAGAAATAAAGTTATTTAACTCCTAAATGGCAGTGAATTGAGCAGTAAAACCTGAGAGGTATGATCTACACACTAAAACTGCTTCATTAAGCTAAAGTTGTTTAGGTGACAATAGTGTTCCTTTAACCCCTTAAGGACACATGACATGTGTGACATGTCATGATTCCCTTTTATTCCAGAAGTTTGGTCCTTAAGGGGTTAAGATCTATTTTGCAAATGCTTTGCCAAAATGGCTGTAACATACCTCCCAACTGTTCCTATTTAGGAGGGAGATTCTAAATAGCTTTGCCCCTCTTTTCTACCCTAATGTTCCTCTTTTCTAGGAGCTCCATATTGTCGGTGTGTCTGAGTGTATCACAGAGCTCCACAGCAATAATACTCCCAGTAATGTGTCTTTAAACATTGATAAATGTGTTTAGAAACCAGTCTGTGTAAATAAGATACATCATTCTTGTTCTAAAGTACATTTCACTTTTGTAAACTGTTATTAGTAAGTCACTTAAAATGTATCAGAACAGCAGTGCCCTGGCCACAACTTCTTTGTCCATTTAAAAAGTTGGGATTTAATTTTAATATTCACACTCAATACATAAACACCCAAAAATGTTACCTGCGCACTGTCCCAAAACACAAGGACCATTTGGAAAATGAAACTAATCTACAAATATCATTTATGTAGCCCCAACATATTCCTCAATGCATTGCAATTGAAAAATGGAGATATTTAACAAGTAATTAACATAAGTAATATAACAGAGACAAGAAGTGACGAAGACTCTGCTCAAACGCGCTGCCAACGTCAAGGTAAATGGTGCCACCCTGCAGTGTGTATATTTTACGCGTCAAATGAAGTGGAGCTTCACTCCGCAAAACACGTAAGGCGAATCATCAAATTCGATTGAACACATTCACAAAACTGACAGGCTGAATAGGTGGAACGCAGACGGCTAAGTGGAACACACGCT